CCTCCTGCGTTGCAGATTGACATTGCGCCCGAACTCATCCACCTCCTCGGGACCCTCTTCGTCCAGCAGCGCGTCCTCGTGCGTCGCGAGCAGCCGACTCGGCGGCGGCAGCGGCGGCGGCGGTCCCCGCCCCCCGCCCCAGCGCCGCCATGGCCGCCGTCACCGCCGCCTCCGCCGGGGCCAAGAGGTCCTTCTCCGCCTGCCTGACGCCGGTGCGGGCCGCCTGCGCCCGGTCCTCCATGAGCTCCAACCTGGACCCCGTGGTAAGGGGGGGGGAGACGAGGGGGGAATGGGGGGAGGGGGAGGGGGTTGGCTGGAAGTGCGGGTGTGGGGAAAAGAGGCGGATGAACAGGAGGTTGAGCGGCTGAAGAGCACAGATGCGCAAATAGAAAGGCGGACAGGGAGGATGCCAAGCTGATGCCTAAGGATGCCTAAGGAAATGGATGGAGGGGGTGGCGGTGGTGGTGAGAGCGAGTGACAGGAAAATGTGTGTGGGGGGAGGGGGAGAGGGGGGTTAAGTGGGAGAGTTTTCAAAATTTCAACAGACACAACTGCAGACGCCCAAAGCATCGGCGGAGGGGGAGGGGGGAGGGATATACTATATGGCAAGTTAAGGAAATCAACTGCCGGCGTCAGGGGGAGGGAGGAGGCGGCCGCCTCATCCCCGCCTCTTTGCCATGTTGGATGCTTCTCAATGCCACGTCCCACCCCGCCCCTTCTGCCCACCCTCCACCCTCCACCCCACCTTCCCTCCCACCCCCACCTGGAATCCTCCAGCTCCTCCACTATCGCACTCTTGACCTGCACACACACAGACACACACACACGCATAGACACATCGGGGTTTTTGTTTTAGCTTGCCTGAGAGCCAGCCGTGGCCCGGGCCATTGAGTTTTACACCGGGGACATGGAAATAGGATTTTGTTCAGCTCCCTGGTGCTGCATTAAGATTTCAAAAGGGGCCAGCTGCCGAGCGATGCTGGCTGCTGCTGTCTGGCGGTCTCCTGGCGCAGCGATTGAGGCGGTGGGCCTTGCCTTTCCGTTCTTCCCTCCGTATACCTATACCGCTGCGTGTACATACCCCTACACGGTATCCGGCGGTTCAGGCTGTGTGTCGAGCAGGAGAGGGGACAGTGGCCCCTCACGCCCCGCCCCTTTCCCCGGGGGGAAGGAGAGCTTGGGCGGTCTTGTTCGTCGGGGCAGCTGGGCACCAGCCCCTGGCCAGCCCGCGTCAGGCCCGGCAGAATATGTAACCCCCCCCCCCACACACACACACACGCGCGCGCGCGCATGCATTCTGTAGGTCCTGAGGCTCGAAATTGCGGGAGGCACCTCCTCCGGGTCACCTCTTTCACGATTTCACCGCAACCGCATAGGGGCCGCATATCCACACGGCACGCGAGGTGGGGAGCCAAACACGACTTTTCACTCCGCCAACATAAAGCCAAAGCGAGCAAAGCAGAGCAAGCAAATCGACCACAGCAAGGACCACAAAACCCTACACAGCCTCCCACTGCTCCCCAAAGAAAACACTTTCCGCGCTCGTAGCCGCACCACCTCACACTCACTCCTACACTATACCTGCAGACAGTCGCACAGGTCCGCCACATACGCCCGGAGCTTCTGCATGTACAAGTACTTGTCACCCGCCGCCTTCAGCTCCGACTCCAGCTGCTCCACCTTGGCCAGGGAGGCGGTCAGGTTGTCTGCAGTGCGCCGGGCGGTTTGACGAACCTGCTTGTGAGCGGTCTGCAGCCGCCGTAGACCGTCAGCCAGAGAGGCCACCGCGGAATCGCCGGCGGCGGTGATCGCCGCGAGGCGGCTGCCGCCGGAGCCGACGGTGAATGCCGAAGGCGCCACCGCCGCCGCGACGCCGAAGGCGTACACGGCGCCGCCGGCGCCGCCTGCGGCGGCGGCGGCGGCCGCCGCCGCCGAGGCTGCCGCCATCCCTGCTGCTGCCGCGCCTGCGGCGGCGGCAACAGCTCCTGCCGCCGCCGTGGCCGCTGCTGGTACGCCTGTTCCTCCTATTTGCTGCAGTCTGAGGGCCTTACGCAGCTGCTCCTCCGCAAAGGCCTCCTCGTCGTCGTCGCCCCCCATCGCCTGGGTGTACTGCGCCATGTCCTTAGGGGGCCTGAACAGGACACGGTACGGCAGGGTACAGGGTACAGCACCCGGCAGGACAGGGTCAGGCCACCGGGCAGCGCAAGATGACGGCGGTGAGGGCGGTGGTGAGCTATGGTGACCGGGAGCTGCTGCGGGGTCCGGTCAGCAGCGGTGTGTATCTGCCTGTTGCGTCACCAACCAAAACACACGGACCCCTATGGCCCGAGGCTTACATGCTTGAATAACTTGACCCGCCATGTGGCCACGTAGCGACACCCCTCGGAAGCAACACAGAATCATAGTAATATCTCCGCTAGTAGAAGGTAATACTACTACTTAGATAGATAGATAGATAGATAAATAGATAGATAGATAGGCAGATAGACAGACAGGGCAACTGAGTGAGTGGATCGATAAACACTTTCGCTTGTGACTTCCGACATCCAGGACCCAGCCCATCCGGGAAGGAGAGGGATCCTAAAACCCTGAGCCCACTCCTTTCCCCTCCCCCGCTCCCACCCCAGATCTCCCCCCCCAAACTCCCCGCTACCCCTTCCGCCCCTCCAACCCCGCACCACACCTGCCGCCCTCCTTGCCGCTGAACCGAATCCGCATCGTCTCCTCCGCCTCCGCGTCGCTGTCGCTGCCCTCCCCCCCCTCGCCGCCCTCCGTGCCCCCCGAGCCGCCGGGGCCCACGGAGGCGCCCCTGCCTGCACCGGCACCACCCGGCCCCGCCGTGCCCCGCAGTCGCCCCATGGCTAGCCCCAGTCCCGATGTGGGGATGTAGTCGGGAGCTAGATGGGCCTGACGTAGCCGCTCGCGCTTGGCCTTGGCCGCCCTGCCCGTCACCAGGGGTTCAAAGGGAGGGCGGTGAAGTGAACGGGGGCCCTGTGGTCCTAATCAGGCGACACGCCAGGGCAATGCTGTAAAAACCTTTTCCAGCGGGCCCAAGGGTTCCCCGGGCGAGACGGCAAGCAACAAAAATGGCAAGACGCAGCAGGTGACAAGAAGGGACTGTACTAGCTAACTAGCTATAACTAGCAGGTGAACAGGAAATGTATTGCCAGTTAACACATATGGCATACACTACAGTATATAGATCAGGAGGGGAGGGGGAACTGGGAATCATCACATGCAAGGAAACCAGAATGAAACTGCCGGTGTCCAAATTCCCAAGGGAGGGAGGGGAGGGGAGGGGAGGAAAGACGAACCACACACGATTGAAGCTGCTGCTGGGAGGGGAGGGGGGCTATGGTGTGGGATTGACCTGTACAGTCCAGTACAGAGCGGTCCAGTACAACACGGCAGCAGGTGACGGGACCGGGCAGGGCGTGGGCGACCCACATGATGGTCTGCTGGTCGGGGATGTCGCCGTCGTCACCGTCCTCGTCACCCTCCTCCACGGCCCCCAGCACTGCGGACCCCTTGGCGGCTCGTGACGGCAGGCCCCCTGGAGCCCCCGAGGGCCCGCCGGGGCGCGGAGGGGGCGGCAGCGGCATGGCGTCCGCCGGCCCCTCTTCCGACAGCACCTGGCGGCAGCAGGGGAGCCCGGGGGCAGGGGGGATGTGGGCCGAACAGGCGAAGGGGTGCGCGCGAGGGCTCGAAGGAACACATTCATCCGCGGGCGCAGCGTCATCCGGGTGGAGGGATAAGCAGGTAGGAAATGCGGGAATAGGTGGTCGATAGCACCCGGGGAAGGGGGCGGAAAATTCACAAGGGAGGAGGTAAAACGGGATAGGGCCTTCCATCAATACGGGGAACGGACAGATATAACAGCCCCCACCTCGCCCTGCAGTATCAGAAACCTCAGCCCACCCCGCATCGAACGTTCCGCGCTGCGGCCAAAGCGGAGGCATCGGAGCAATGAGCTAGGCAAGCAGACAGACAGACAGACAGACAGGCAAGATCCCCAGGCAGGCAGGCAGACAGACAGACACACAGATTAACACCCCAATGCGCCCACCTCGCCTACACTTAAACCTATACGGCTCTAATCCTTCGCCCTCAACCTCGCTAACCCCCCCTCCCTGTCCACTCGCTCCTAACCCCCCCCAATTCCCAGCTCCTCTCCTTCCAAATTTCCCCCGCCCCCCTCCCCACCAGAGCGATGCTGCTCCCGGGCAGGCTGAACCGATCATCTTTAGCTGCCCCGGTTCGTTTGAAGCTTCCTGATAACTTGATTACAGGCTCAGCAGGTCCGGCAGCGCCCTCTGCCGCTGCACCCCCCCCACTGCCACTGCCACTGCCATTTCCCGCCGCAAGCCGTGCAGCGGAGAAGCTGATGGCGTTACGCTGGAGGTCCTTGAGACGCTCGGCAGTGTACTCGCCTGGGGGGTGGGGAGTGGGGAGCCAACAGGGATAGTGTGGGGTCGTGGGGAGGACGGAAGTGGGGAGGGAGCGGTAACCGCCGGGAGCTGAGAGCGAGGCGAGACATCCTACAGGCTATTTCGCCTGGGAAGGAATGGTGCGGTGGGGCAGGGGGGCGCGGGGGAGCCAGAGCTGGGGAAATCCGCGCACAAGATGTGCACTCTTGAGGAGTTCTGCGACTGGAGACGTGCGATCATCGTGATGGGGCGGGTTTAGGGGGTTGGGTTGAGTTAGCTTTAGTGGGGAAAAGGATGTGGGGGCAAAGAGCGGCGCAAGAGGGATGGGGGAATGTGTTCGTGTTGGGCAGATGGGGGGGAAGGGATCGGGGGGAAGGTGTACAGAGAGCGACCCACGGGGCGGAGGCGGCCTAGCTGGCCAATTATGTGATGCGGTGGCAAGGCATATCGCACAGCCCCTAAGAGCCCCGGATGGGGGATGTATGCTGTGGTTCCTTTCCTAGGTTTGGCCAGCCAACAGCGGAGTCAGTCTGCGCAAGTCCCCCCTGCGCACCTGCCGTTGAGCGCAAAGTCTGAGGCGCGGTATCCGTGGGTAATTCCTGGAGCGCGGGCGCCCTCGCTAACTTAGACTGCCGCTGCTTCTCCTTCTTGCTATCCTTTTTCGGGACAAAGCCAGGGTCATCGCCATCATCCTCGAACGACAGCAGATTCAGCTTGCTTCCCTTGCTGTCCTTCTTCACATCGCCTTTGCTTGCGACCAAGCTACTCCCGCTAGGGCCCTGCTTGGTTGCTACAGCTGCTTGGTCCTTCTTTAGTTGGTGCTGCGGCGGCCTAATTTGGGGGGGCCCATCTTCTCCGTCTTCATCGTCTGCGCTGACTTTATTCCGGAACTTACGTTGCTTAAAGGCCATCCAAAGTCAAGGAAAGACAAGGGCTACAAAACACAGCTCAATCTTTCCAGCTGTCTGCTCTGATGCGAACGCGTTTCCAGCAAGCCATTAGCGCTTAGGTTTAATTTGCTCTACTGTGACAAGTGGAAGACAAATGGTGTATGCTCCTTCCCGAAAAAACGAGGACCTAACTAACACCTGTCGGTCTCGGGCCCGAAAAACACCTCTCGCGGCCAAATATGATAGTTTTAGGATAAGCCAGATGCCATGCTAAATTATACGAGCTACCGCCCCTATCTACAAAGCGCCCGTAAGGCTATCCAAGGATGTTCTCTGTCTTCGACCGTCAGGTGCTTGCGAAAATTATTGGGGGTTTTCGAGTTTGACTACCTTGATGATAACTATGGCGCGTTGGCAGAAACTTATGCACCTGTGACTGTGGCTTGTGGTAGTAAGCTCTTGTTATGAACGCGTCCGGCCGGCACGAGGAAACTGATTTGGGCACTGGTAGGTTATTTGAGGTCCTCAGCATTGAAATCCTGATCTCAATACTCGAACGGTATAGAACCCATGAAGTGCGTTCATCCAGACGGTTTCAGGCACCTGGGAGGGCAGCTGCTAGCATGGCCTGGATACGCTACCGAACCAGTCGAGGTAAGGACATGCGTTGTGGGCGGCTACGTGAATTTTTTGTTAGGGCAATTCCATTGTGCCGCCATTTACCCTTCCATGAACGCTTGCGCACAGGTGATCGAGATGGCGGGTCTTACGAACGATTGGGTGCGCACAACAGGATTGCAGGTCCCGTCGCTCGTGAAAGGTTGCACAACGTACACGTCGTTCTTGCAACCGTTGCTCACCGACATGCGCGACCTGTCCCGGTTATCCAAGGAGCTAGGCGATGATCGCGAGGTGCGCTGAGAATTCGTGCTTCCAAAGGTGTTGCTGGGTGTGCAGATGTGTTTGGATGCTTGTTTAAGAATCCCGTCGATCGGCTCCGATCGCATGTCGGGCACGTCGCCTTGGGTGGGGCATTACAAGGTTACGCGCTTGTGCTTTTGCATAGCAAACCCATGAATTTAAACGCCGCAGCCCATTTTGCAGCCCATTTCCTACTCGTTTTGTAACTTGGAGCCCGCCCCGTTCAACTTCGCCTGTCATGAGTCGCTGCAAAACGCCAGAGCATCACCGCGCCAGCCACCAATTGGGCCCTTCTAGCTGGGCGTGCAGCGCCTGTTGTTTCACACGCATTCCGCCTTGACACAGTATATCCTTATATTCCTCCTCACTGTCCCAACCCGCCTCGCGAAATGTCGTTGATGCTACTTCCCGTATTCCCCTCCCCTGTATGCCTCATACCATTTCCGCCCATCAGCACCCACCACAATCGCAAACCTCGCGTCTAGCCCTCCGGCCCGCTGCACCCTATCCTCGCCTTCTCACATCCATCCCTAAATCCTCCTCTCCACCACTTTCCCATGATGGACACACACACACACACACATACACACACACGCACACACGCACACACACACACACCTGTTAACAGGTCAGTCCTTCGCTTACCTACACAATGGCCTCCATGCCTTACCTACAAAATGTCCACCATGCCATTTCCCTATCTCCTAACGCCCGCGCCAACGATTGCACCTCCTGCCTTTGCCCTATCCGTCAAACTCATTTTTCTTACGTCCCCAGTCGGCGGCTCTCCAATCCCTCCTTCGCAACCCATGTGTTTCCTGTAAGCTGTAACCTGCCCCGACCCAAATCGCACGTGCATCTGTACGTGTCAGGTACAAACTCTGGACGTGGCCCAGCAGACTCCGGGACCCAGATGGACCATGCGCCAGTGGTGCCTCTACTGGAAGGAGCGCCAGGCGACTCTGCCGCAGCCGGGCGACCCGCACCACCTGGCTGCTGGCCCCGGCGGCGCCTCCGACGCCCCGTGGGCCCGTGGGTCGGCTGCGCCCGCGCCCGCGGCGGCGGTTGTCAGCTCTGGTGACGACGGGGGCAATACGGAGATGGACGACGAAGCGGATAGCGCTTTCGTACACCAGGGGTAGGTTCGGAGAGGTCCCCTTGTGTTGGGTGCCCCGTTGGGTGCGCTGGAGCTCTCGGCTGGCGTGGGCGTGGGCGCGGGCGTGGGCGGATTGGCGATGGGGTGGTCACTGGAATTAAAACGGGGCTGGGTCAAGGTGCCATGCCACTATTGATGACTTCATTGGACAAATCTAGCAAGTGCGTCCGCGTGCGCGCGCGCGTGTGTGTGTCTGTGTGAGAGAGAATTATTACGCACTGCCGCGCTTCGTAGGGGGGCACCTACGCCTTTTCCCACGGGTTCTCGATACACAGATCTTCTGGCTGCAGCTGCTGGCCTATCAATTCTTCATGCATGCGTACATGAGTGCATAGTGCTTGGACTTGGGCCTCGGTCTAGTGGGGTTTGTCATATTCTTAAGGGCCATCATAAGACTATGGATGGTGGGCGCTTTACCAGACCAGCGCATCTGCGCCGCCGCTGTGCCGCCGCAGCCGTTGCTGCTGCTGCTGCCATCACCAGACTTAATGCACATCATTACGTTTCTGTCCACCCCCGCCCCCTCAGTACGTGTTTCATGTGTGGCCATGTTCTTTCAACGCGGCAGCTTCAGCTGTACTTTCCGTGCCCCGCTGTACCCCCCCGCCCCTCTTGTCAACAAAGTCCCGCCCCTCACCTGCGACCCTGTCTCCGCCTCTTATAACGGCCCCTTTATACGGCGCGTAAACAGTGACGTGGACCAGTTCCGGGAGACCAGCGCTCCGCGGAAGGGCATCCGGGATTCCAACAAGCGCCGCCTGCTGGCTCTTACCTGCGCGCCGCTGCCGGACCAGGCGGAGGCCCCCGCTGCGGCAGCGCTGCGGATGCCTCTCCCGATGGCTGCCGCGGACCTGGTGGCGCACCTGGGCCTTACGAGGGAAGTGGCGGCGGCGGCGGCGACGGGTGGCGGCGGCAGCGCCGCCGCCGCAGCGGCGGCGAGACACCATGTTGCGATTTGGCCTTCGGGGGCGGCGACCAACTTTCGGCTGCTGCCCGGCGGGGCTGCTAGCTGGTGGGCGGTGGCGCATGGGCGCATGGTGGGTGGGGATGGTTGGGAGCGGGTAATACAGCGCAAGAAGTGAAAGGGTTCGCTTCTGCTGACAAAAGCGATGATGTAGTTAGCCGTGGGTGCGGGCGAGGAAGACTGGAGCAGGGGCTGTCGGGTGTTTTGGGGGGACCAAGCACTGCCTCTCTTTGGGGTTGTTGCGTAGGGCTGATCTGGTACGTGGGTTCTGGGTGAGTGGCCGTCGATGTGGGGACTTTCTGGAAGGTGCATGCGGGTGCGGCGGACTTGGAGGGGCTGCGGTAGGCAAGATGGGAAAACGAAAGCCAGGTTCGAGTCGTTATTAACGGTATAGTTTAGTCCTTGTTTTTCTGCAGCTCGGCAGCATACGATATATATACTTGATGTGTATTTTTTCTACCACGCTGCCCAGCCCGCACTCTCGCTCCCGTGGTTGACGCTACTATTCTCGGCGCCCTGGCTATGTGTGCCCTCTGTGGCCCCGACCTCTAGATGTTCCTGCTGGTACCCCCCACGGAGCAGTCCCTGGCGCTGTTTGCAACGTGGACCGCAAGTGGAGCCCGGGACCATGGCGTGCCGCTTCTTGATGCCTGGAGCCCCTCCTCGCCACCGCGGCCCCCCCCGCCCTTCTCTTCCGTCCAAGTTGGATTGCCGCCGCCACCGCCGCCCGCTACCGCCCCTGCATCAGCGCTGCCGCTGCCGCCGCCGCCGCCGCCGCCGGCGGCTACTTCCCCCCGTGGCGCGCAGCGCAACGCAGCTGACTTCCCGGTTGTCGCCGGCGGCGGCGGCGGCAGCCCTGCGCCGCCGGGGGGTCTTGCTCGTGTGGTCCGTCTTGAAGCGAGTGCCGGGGAGGTGGCGGTGCTGCCGGTGGGGTGGCCGTTCGCCGTGGTGGCGGCGGAAGACAGTGTGGCGGTGTGCGGCCAGCTGCTGACGTTGCACGCGATGGGCGCTGCGCTGCGGTGCTGGGAGCTGGAGGACCTTCTGCGGGTGAAGCAGCGAGCCCGCTTCCCGCTGTTCAAGCACGTCATGTGGCATGCGGTTGTGTCGTACGCAAAGGCGCTGCGGTCCGCGGCAGGTGAGTGACGGCGCGCACGTGTACCTCAGGGGGTGTCTGTGTGTTAGGACGGGCGAGCTGAGCTGCGAGGCCTGAGGCGCTTAGGGTTGGGAAGATGTCACATGCGCACTTTTACCACCTGCCCTGTGTATGAAGCTGAGCCGGAGGTGGTCTAAACCGGATGCAAGCTGCACCTAGCTGCTGCGGCATGTAGCATATGTGTCAATCATTCTGCTATGTGTTTTGTTGCAAGGAGGCTGTAAGGGGTCTGCCTGGAGAGGGATGCGTCCGGTCATGGAGAGGGATACGTCCCCTCCTATCCTATCCTTACCCTCTTGGCCGGCGATTAGAGTTTTTAACACGTTTCTCTCCGCATCTCCGTGGTCCAGGCCTCCCGATGCTCAAACGCCAGCGCGCCTCGACGTCGCGCGACCGTGGCGGCACAGCGCTGGGGCCCGCCGGCATGACCGCCTCACACAACGTGCATGGTGGCGGCGGCTCCACGGGGGGTGTGCGGCGTCCGACAGCAGCGCAGCCGCAGGACAGCTCCGCTATGAGTGGGGGCCCTGGCACAGCGGCGGCGGCGGTCGGCAGACGCCGTAGTACGGGCGGCGGCGGCGCACACGGAGCTGGCGCGGCTGAGCCCGGCCGCGGAACCGCCGGTGCTGGAGCTGACGGCAGGCCAGCTGCACTGGCGGCGGCGGGTCGCAAAAGAATCACGGGCGAGCAACACGCGGATTCACCACGGCGCCAGAGCAATAGCGGCGCCTGCGCCACCGCTGCTGGAGCTGCTGCTACTGCTGCAGCGGGGCAGCCAGGTGTGACCAGCGGTGGTGGTGGCGCTGGCGGCGTGCAGCTGCCGCTGCGCGGCGTGGTGGCCAACCGCGTTGGCGCCAAGGGTGCCTCCCCTTCCTCGCCCCAGTACAGCGGCGGCGGGAAGCGCCTGCGTCCGAACACCGGCGCGGCGGTACGGATGTTTAACCAGCTGGCGGATGATGATGAGGACGTGGCAACCGCCACGTCACCTCGGGAACGTCTGCCTGGGGCCAGGCTCCGGAGCGCCTCAGGTGCCGGTGCGGCTGACCCTGTCGGCGGTGTGACACCAGCGGCAGCGGGATCAACCCGGCGGCTGGCCTTGGGCGGAGGGGCCGCCAGAGGCACGGAGGAGCGTCCGAGGCGGCGCGCAGCGCAGGGTCGGAACTGGGAGTACCTCCTAGGGGAGCAGGACGACGACGACAAGGGGCAGCAGCAAGAGGAGGGTGAGGGCGAGGGAGGCGGCGACAGCGGGACCAGCCACGGGAACTCTGGGCGGCAACGCCAGGTACGGCGGTTACATCTGCGCCAGCATGATATAGCGGAGGAGGCTGGGGTGGAGCCGGACGATGGAGGCGGCGGCGGAGGCGGGTCGGCGCCACCGGGTATTCGGCACGGCCGCGGGCGCCGTCGCCGCCGCGGCGCCGAATCCGACGATATTGATTATGAATACGATGGCAGCGATGGCATGTCGCACGACAGCGACGACATGAGGCCGACAGCGCGGACGCCGCGAGGCGCGCGTACAGGGAGGCGCTTGAGCGACCGCGGCAGCGAGGGCAGTACCCCCGCGTCGCCGGGCAACCGCCGAGGGCGCGGCGACGGTGGTGACAGTGGCGGAAGGCATGGCCGAGGCCGGGGAGTTATGCCTGGCTCCCGCGCCGGTGGCGCAGCCGCCGATGCCAGTGCTGGCGGCGGCAGCAGAGCAGGTCGGGGCTTGCGGTTGCGTATCACAGCTCGTCACGCAACACCGTCGTTGGAGGTTGGTGTGGTGAATAGCCGGCCTGGTCCGGGCCCACCGTCACGGCAGGCACCGACGCGGCCGGAGCTTGGCGCCGGAGGCGCTGTGCCTTCACTAGGGGAACAACAGCAGCAGCATACGAAAGCTTCCCGACGGGTACGGCGGGTGCGTGTGTACGAGGACACTGATGATGACGTGTCCCTTGATGACGCTCTGAGTGGCGGCAGCGGCGGCGGAAGAGGACGTGGGACAGCGGCAGCGGCGGCAGCGGCCCGACGGCGACCTGACGGGGCTGGCGGCGGTGTCGCTGGCGGCGGGTACACCCAGGCTGCGTCGCCTGGCCGGGCGGGGTCGTGTAGAGCGTCGGCCGACGGCGGTCCGGCGGCCCTTGAAGACTCCCTATCCTCGGGAGGAGACGACGATCAGCACCAGCGACGGCGGCGAGGATGGCTCCGACGCAGGCGTCAAGCGCATGCGGCGGGCGAGGATGATAATGCGCTGGAGGGGGCGGTGGCGGCCGGTGCAGGTGGGCCCGCATCGGAGGATTCGGATAGCCTGGGCGCCGCCGCTGCGGCGGCGGCGGCGGCGGCGGTCGGGCAGCCGCTGGGGAGTCAGGGTGTCCGCCGCCGCCTCCGACGGGCGCTGGTCTCTGATGAGGAAGACGACGCGCCCGGTGCGGTTGTTGCCGGCAGAGGAGCCGCGGCGCCGCCAACGGCTTCTCATCCCGCCGCCGCCACCGCTTCAGCAGCGGCAGCAGCCGGTACAACCGCGGCCGCGGGTACGCCAGTGCCACCCATTAAGATCAAGTTGCAGCTCCACAGCCGTCCCGGCGTCACGCCCGGAGCGACCCAGCCGCCGCAACGGACCGTACTAGGTGATCATCTTCGTCGCTCGCCGTCTCCTGTACCGCCTGTGCTACAGCCGCCGCGTACTAACCACGAGCTTGAGCCAGGGATAGCCGGTGCTGTCACTGTCGCTGGCGCCGGCGCCGGCACTGGCGCATCGGCTGGTGGTGGTACGGCGCTTGGGGCCGGGTCTGGGGTTGGGTTGGGGGTGACGGGAGTGGGGCCTGGGTCGGGGCACGGCCTGAAGCTGCGTCTCAGACTTCCTGTCGGACCTCCAGGGCCTGGGGGGCCCCCTGCGCCATACCCAACCCCAACCCCTCCAAATCCTCAACTCCTACTCCACCCACATTCAGATGGGTTTCACCCAGTCCCTCCGTGTCCTCCTTCCTCGACCCCCCGATCGACGCTCGAGGGTGTAGCGGACGCCGTCGCAGGAGCCGATAGGGGGACCCAACGGTCGAATGGCGGTGCGCAGCACGCTGGGGAATCGGGCTCAGGGCTCCGTTTCGCAGCAGCTTGTGAAAGGGGAACGAACATCGAACATGCTGTGCCCGCCGCCACCGCCGCTGCCGCGCTGACGCCATGCACGCAGCCGGTACGGCAACCCTCCGGCGAGCCTGTTTGTTCTGGGAGAGGGCAGCTGCCGCCGTCGGCAGGCGATGCAGGCCCCAGTTCCCCCCGCGCTACTGTCCCTTCTACCGGTGGCGCCGCTGACGGTGACGGTGCCGCCGCCGCTGACCCCGTTTTGGGCTCCCAGGACGAGGCGCTGCCGGCAGACGACATTCCTCAGCTTGACGGCGCCGGCGATATGGACGAGGAAGTGTACGACATTGTGGGTTCCAGAGCCCCGAGCAGTGTTTCCCCTGAGCGCTGTGGGCCTCTGTACCCCCCCGCCGCTGTCCGGATCAGGAACATGTCTGGACGCTTGCATACTGCCACTCCGGGAATCTTGCTGCAAGCTACTGTGGACGAAGGTGGGGGAGCCTTGGCCGCGATCCTCCGTACCTTGGATCCCACGAGCTCATCAGTGGCGATACCCTCAACGGTTCTTGCTGCTACTGCTACTGCGCCGGCGGCAGCGGCAGCGGCAGGATACAGCGGCGAAGGCAGCCTGAGAGCCATGGACATGAGTGTGGATGTCGGGGCACCTGCCGTTTCCCCTGGCATTTCACACCCGCCTCAGCCCCAGACCAACTGGTTGCGGCAGCCGCCTGCAGGCGCATTGACACTGCAGCATGGGGACCAGCCATTCCTTCAAAGGCTAATCCCGCCGCAGCTGCAGCTGCAGCAGCCACAGCAGCCACAGCCGCAACCGCAACCGCAACCGCATCAGCCAGCAATGCCCGGCCACCTGAGTATTCTGCAGAAGCTGCCTCCTGGCGCAACTAACCCGTTTATGTCGTCGCCACCGCCGCCGGCTGCCCCGGCCACGCAACAGCTGCACCATCCGATGACGTCCGATGTGGGTGGGAGCTCCGCCTCTGCCACAGGGCAGCAGCTGGAGCCCGTGCCGCGGGAGCCGCAGGACCATCAGCCCCAACTAGGCGGTGTGCCGGCGGCCGAGACCCAACAGTCATGCCAGGTCCTGGCCCAGATACAGCCCCCAGAACAGGACCATGCGCCGTGCCCAGCGGCAGTGCTGGCGGCTGGCGCGCCGATGCCTGCCCAGCAAGTCGGGGCGGCGGTGGAGATGCCGCCGGCAGTTTCGATGGGATCGTTGCCGGGGGTGTTAATGGCTATGGGGCCGGAGGTGCGGGCGCTGCCAGGCGCCCAGGACGAACACCCCCAGAAGAGGCAGCAGCAGCAGCAGCAGCGGGTGCTACAGCCCGCATCGCAGTTGGAGCTGGCAGCGCAGAGCCAGCATGTGCAGGACCTGTGTGGGGGGCAGGTACTCGCCAGTTCCAATCCCGGGACCTCCCCCGCAGCGGCGCTTTTGCAGCCGCCACTGCCGCCTCTCCCATCGCAGCAGCAGCAGCAGCAGCAGCAACAGGAGCATCAACAACAACTGCTATCGCTACTGCAGGCTGACAGCCGCCTCCACGCCGGTTTGGAAGTGCCGCAGAGCCTAGCCCAGTCGCAGCTGCAGCCCGCCGTGGCCGCTGGTCAATCCGCGGAGCTTGCTACTGCTACCGATGCTGAGACGACAGCGGCAGCGGCGGCTGTGGCTAGTCTCGCACCAAGTCCATCGCCGCAGTTTGCGTCGCCTGCCTCACCAGGGCATGGCGGCTCAGTGGCGCCAGGGCCGTCAGCGGTCACACCTAGTGGCCCTGCGGCGCCGTCTCCGCCATTACGCGGTGGAGCCGCCTCGGCAGTGCCGGCCAAGCGCGCTTCCGACGGGACATCTAGACACGCACAGGCGCGGCCGGCACATCCTCGGCCGCATGTTATCAAGTCCATCTCTGATGCAGTGCCTGATGCGCAAAAGGCTCTCGGGCTGGTGCCGCTAGGTAAGTAACTCATGGAGATGGGGAGGCAAGGAGAGGCGTGTTTGTTGGGCTGCAGCGGTGCTTTAATGGTACGGAAGTGGGTTACTCGATCGAAAATGCAACCATGTTACAGTCCCGGATGCAGGCTTTTGGTGCTGCGCAAGATGCGCATTGGGGCAAAAGACCTTTTCGCGCTTGTGCGTGTCGCGCGGTTGGTGAATTGCATTGTTGCTTTCCGCTGCTCCCTTGCTGCCTGCCTACGTTTTTTGTCCCTCTCCATCGCAGCGCTTTTTTTTGCGTGTGTGAAAGATGTAGTCCGCAGTGCGCAGTGCGACAAGTGTCGATTGATATAGAGAGTTGGACATTTGAGTGGTTGCAGACAAGAGAGTTTTAGGAGCCTCTCCTGATGGGGAAAGGCAGGAGGAGCGTTTGAGGCGTTGGAACATCGGTTAACAAGGAGACGGGTTTCATTACAGGTTACACATCGTACAAAAGTCGCTTCAGGTTCCTTTTTTCACAACTGATGCCTATGTCTGGGGGTTAAAAACAAGGACATGCAGCTCAATTGCATCTTCAATCCCAAATATCTGAGCTCAATCCGTCGTAGCGCTAAGTTCAGGTACTTGGGAACCGTCCCGCCTCCATCTAGAACGGTTCAACACTTGACCTCTGTTATCTGCTGTACTCCCTTGACGGCAGCCTCCCTCTCGCCCGTCTCTGCACGCCTGCCGCCTTCACAGGTGCACATCGCAGCGCGCAGCAGGCCGTGCCTCCCCGAACCGGCGGCCTCACCAGGATGATGCCCAGCCGGCCCGGGCAGCAGCAACGACCTCCAACCGGTAATGGCCCGCTTTCCGCCGCTTCAGCTCCCAAGCAGCAACAGCAGCAACAGCAGCAGCAAGGGGGCCCGCATGGAGGGCCTTCGGGGGGCGTTGCAGCAGGAGGTCGTGCCGGGGCCGGCACGTCCTCGGCAACTGCTGCTGGCACGGCTGCTGCTACTGCTGGTGCTACTGGTGGTGCTGGTGCTGCCGCAACATCTCCAATGGCCAAGGGGACGGGCGCGGCGGTAGCGGATGCTCGAGCCACATCTCCGAGGGCGGTTTCAGCGGCGCGGCCGGGGACAGGGTTGTACGGCGATGGTGGCGGCGGAGCAACAGTGGCGACTGCGGGTACAATGGCAAGCCGTCTACCACAGCCGCAGGCGGAGGCCCCGCAAGGGGGCCATCGGCCGCCAAAAGGATCAACGCCCCCGCCGCCAGCGCTGCTGCTGCCGCAGCAACAGTACCCTGGAACCGACGCGGCTACCGACGCGGCGACGCCCATGCAGTTGGCCATTCGCACCGCCATTGCGGGCGCCGCACAACGGTACGATATGCCGCCGCCGTCGACCACACCGCTGTCGTCGTTTGGTGCAGCGGCTGCCGGGCCCTCGTCCTTACCGGCCGCCACGTCGCCGGCCTTCGCTGCCCCGTATGGCAGCGGCTCTACGGCAGCCTCCGCCGGGGTCGGGGGACCGCCGGCACCGAAGCCGCGGCCGTCCTTGTCACGGCTGTTGTCACCCTGGGAAATCCGTGACTTGCCTCTCCTCGTGGCGGCATTGCGGCGAGGCTTGACGGAGAGCCCCTACCACGACGATGTGCCCTTTACCATACGCGACCCGGAGCACGTGTTGGAACAGCTGGAGGAGGCCTTGACGGTGTTAGAGCACCCGGCCTATGCAGCTGCCGCCGGAGCTGCAACAGCGGCGCCGCCCGTGCCTGCGACGGCAGATGGTACACCCCCAATAACTGGGCCAAGTAGAACCCAAGAACCTTGCGAAGGCGGCAGCGGCCCTGGCAGTGCTTCACACGCAACACCGGCTGCGCCGGCGCCGGGCGCTGCAGCGACTGAGGCGGGCGGCTCTGAAGGGGGCGGCGGCGCAGGGCCGCCCGGCAGCGGGATGATGCCCATGGGGCCGCCGCCGCCGCCGGCTGCTCGCGTCCCACAGGCTGCTGCTGCCGCGCAGGCGGTTGCTGTCCCCTATCCGGCAGTGCGTTTCGCCAACGACGCGGAGCTGCCCCCGGCGTGGCGCCAGATTCGAGACCGGATCGCAGCGCAGCGTGAGCAGTCGCCCGGGCCAGGCAGCACCGCCTTTGGCACCACCTTCGACGGAGACACTGTCGAGCAAACCGCGGAGACGGACCCTGCGGCCAGTGCCGGGGCGGGCGGGGCAGCAGGGCCCGGCGGCAGCAGACGCCAACCGCCAGGGCGCACCGGAGGCCCTCGGCCGCTCAGCAAGAAGGTAGCCAAGCTGAAGAAGGGTCTGGGCCTTTGAAAAGGGGGTTGTAATTGCACTCGAGACTTGAAGCTGCATCTATTCAACAAAAGCTGATTGGCTCTGTGACCCGGGCCTGGACCTGGCTACGTCTTGACCTTAATTATGAGCGACAAGCCCCCGGTTGGCAAACTAGCGACCTGGGGCCCGCATGGGTTGTTGGGGGAAAGTAGTGGGGGCCGGTTATGGTGTGGCCGGGTACGACCATATGAGTGAGACGAGCTGAGTCCGGACATCCCAGCCACATGTGGGAGCTACTGTTGCCATGCAGCGGGTTTGAACTTCGGGGTTCCGCTGCGAGCGCGTTGCCATTTCACCACCACGAAAAGCGAGGGAGCAGAGGCCAAGCACACGCGCCCCTGGTGGAGTATTGACAGATGTAGCGCATATAGCGCTGCTGGTAGGCAGGGGCGTGCGGGTCATAGCGGGTTGACTGGGTTGACCAACCTCGCTTTACGAGGAGCCGTGCAAGTCTGCATGTGTACACACGAACCTGGTGCATTTTACGCGTTGCCTCGTCAGCTGCACTACCCCTTGCTTGTTGCAGTTTATGCAAGTACTTTTTTCCTTGTGTTGGGTATGAATTACCGCAAGACTAATGCTCCTGGGATGCCACTGAAGGTGCACGCTTCTGTGATGCGGCGGGCTGCTGGTGGCGGCGGGTTCGCTTCGTGCCGGAGGCGGGTTGGACATGGACTGGATACGCGGGTAGGGTAGATGACGCGGGCAAGGGCAAAGTTCGGAGACGGAAGGGCGTGGCGTGCGAGCGGCCGTGACGGCGTGGGAGTGGAGGGATGCCTTTTTTGGAAAGTCGCTCGTTCCCGAGGAGGTCTCTGAAACTGTTTATAGGGACGAAACTTAGCTCATTGCACAAACTGGGCGCACACCCACAGCTTATTGCAGACTGTTGACCGTTATTGAGATCAAATTGTACACCCGCTGGCTTACTGCCCTGTCTACAGCTCTCGATGCTTTAGCCTCGCAATGTGACACTACCTGAACTTGTGTAATATTTGGTTTGCGGATAGACTTAGACCCTCTTAAGTTGACCTTTGTACTATTGACGTATGATTTGTCGATACGTTTTCGAATGGCTAGGGCGGAATGATGGGCAAGTTACAGGTGTGACGCGTGAATGAAGAGGTGGGCGTTACGCGCATGGTGGTGACCGGTATTTCCTTCATCCACACAGACAACGTACAGGAGGAATCTAAATGCGCTATGGACAGTTGGGACCTGTTCCGACTGCATTACATTCCCCCGCCGTTTGAAACTGAAGATGGTCGCGTTGCACCTGTTCTGGTTGCCAACATCTCGCAGTCTTCACTTCACGTTTTACGGCCCTGTAAAACCATCAATGAACATGAATGACACCACAACCGACCTCCCCCCGAATGCTACGGCGAAAACGACAGACACAACAACGAAAGACGAGCAGAAATGGACCAGACCACTAGAAGCCCCCCTTGACGAGAAGCGAGAATCACAACAGACATCATTTTTTCCGTATGACGTCAATATACTGTCTCACAGAAATGGTAAATCAAGTGATAACATTCATTAATCGTTGCCGTAGTTACTGATCTAGGCGCACCGAAATCCCCACTCTAAAAAGCCGGAGAGGTTGCGGCAGCAGCAACTTCGGTAGAGCAGCGGCTGCAACAGCCATATACGCCCCACACGTCCAGGCGCCCTATTTGGCCATCGACGGTTTCCACGCTCTCTAAACCGGCCAGTGCCCGAAAAAGTTACCGTGGGGTTCCATGCACATAGACCTGGCTCACCACGGTCCTGTTTTCCAGGCTTTGAGGGTGGGAGTGATGGTGGATTGACTACTCTATCAATATTGAGTGAGCTCTACGACAACATCCACGGCAGCCCGCAAGACGTGGTGGCTAGCTATGGACTGGCTACGTCAGGTCACAGTTCGGGTCATACGCACGTCCATCGTTGGCCCACTGTCAAGGCGCGACGACTAGGGAATCCAAGATCCCGTCACATTATTATGCTGCATGATGCACACCCAGTTTAAAGCGGTCACGCATTCTGTATACCTTTAGTCTTTTAGTATTCACCTAACTTTATAACCCACAAGCAGATCACAGGTGCTACGCAACCAACATGCCTGAAGTCGCGAGGCCACGACGCCAACAGCCAGGAGCTTTCCCACCCGCCGCACCAATGTTTTTGAACTCCCCAAACGAGTCAAAGTCTTCACAGCTCCACCTTATCGGCGTTCATCCTTCCTCAGCGGCCAAGCGAATGGAGACCACACAACAGACATAACACGCAAAGCCCGCGCCTCCGACGTCCTGTTTATCCCCGCTGCACTGTTTGCATAGGTCATGCATATCAGTGGCGACCAGCGCACATTAAAAAAGCCTCGTCACCATTACAGCCGCAACAGCAACTAATGTGTACTCCGCCAACATGCGGCTGCCCAGCAAACGCATCCTGCGGCACCGAAACCCTGACAAAAGCCCCGTCTCCTCGGTAACGACCCCGCTATTCCAGAGGACGTATGGGCCCCTGACGTCTGCAGACGGTGGCCGCCTGGACAACGCAGCTTAGGGGGTTGCACCAAGCTACCCTCTACCACCCCGTCTTGCGGCCCGGATCACCTGATGCGCCACCCTGCTCTGCATTACGCGCATCCAAAAGCACCACATCCGGCGCGCGCAGGACAACGGCAGGGGCAAGAATGGGGCCTTCCGTCACCTTTTCCCAATCAAAAGCTCACCACGCCGAGGATTTGGATCACGTCAGAAGCTCTTAAATGAAACAAACCGCATCCAACATCATCATCACTGATAAGCAAACATACAAAATGTAACATACATTCTTGTGCAAGACCTTCTCAGCGGCCGCAATCATTTAAGGCTTTGAACGTCCGCGTGTCCGCTCGTACACTGTTTTCCCTTGCTGCGTCCACGTCTTCCAAGGCCCCCCATTACATACGCAGTGCGGCAATGAGAGGGCACAAATCCGCGGGTTGTGCCTTAAGGATTAGAATGGACTACAGCGGCCAGGCAGTTTTCCAACTGCCATCAGCTAGATACCTACCTAAATGTGTGCTGTCACTACGAGGTAACCAATGTGGCTCGAGTACCCGCCGTATATGTCCAAGTAGCCGCATCAATCCCCAAAGACGCACCGCGACACGGGTTTGCAGCACAAGTCAGCAACCAGTAAAGGACAAGAGGTGTCACCATTTACTTCATAATTAGACACCGCAACGCGGCACCATTTCGGGATCACCAGAGAAAATGTAGGCCTCCCCGCGCCCAGGCGTGGAAAGCCAACACAAGAGCGGCAGGACCCTTTGCGTTGTTCAACCACAGCCCAACGAAGACGCACGCCTCGCAGCCAGGCTACAACCTACCGCGAAGCAGCAACTCAACGCAACGTAACCCTAAGCCCTATAAGCCGTGTCACGAGCATCACAACAAGTTCATCACCTACAGGGATGATAGACATATACGCAGGCGACGAAACTGCCTGCAGTTCTGTGTCGCCCTAAACATAAAAACGCGAAAAGAATCCTGGTATGCAAAAAACCTAATCTGAGGCCGCTACCCCTCTGCGTGTGAATGCAAACGTCAAGACGGGAAGTCAAGGAGGGTTGCAACATCCATGTCCCACCTCCGCCGCAGTGCCTGAAGCGAAGTCGAGCGGCAGGGTCATGCCTGCCCTCAAATTCCCGAAGCCCACATCACCGTAAGAGGCAAATGCCGGGACATCCTCTGTTGTTCAACCAGCGGATAGCGCCGCCGGAGCCGCAGCAGTGGCGACAGCGGGCTTCTGCGGCAGAGGCAAGTCCCTAAGGCGCAGGCGGGCGATGCTGTTGACGCGGGCTAGGGAGACACGCACAGGCTCGGGGAGCCTCCGGATCCTTGAGAGGGCTTTAGCAGCAGAGCCCCATAGCCAGGACTGGGACTGGGAGCAGAGTCTCTGGCAGTCAAGGAAGTGGAAGACGGGGCCCCAGGCAATGGCTGCGGCAGGTCCAGGCCAGATGGAAACGAGCGGGAGGTAGCGGGAGGTGCGAAGGGGTTTCAACGATTGACACCGCCTCCGGTGCTCCGAAGCAGGGACAAGGGCGTAGGCTGGTCTGAGTCGCGATCAAGCGGCGGCGAGCCACCATGAGGGTGGCATTGCCCGCCCACCGCCACAGGCCCCCAGCCGTTGCCCAGGAGCAGGAGAACACAGCAACAACATATCAACAGAGAAACGGCTTCGCGGAAGGCGAGTCGCGCTTCTGTAGACCTAGCCCGCTGCTAAACTTCCCCGCTGCTGCGGCTGCTACTGCTTCTACTGCAAAAGAGGCCTGCTGCTTGTCTTGGAGGGCAGGGTTGTGGCCAGAAAGCCACCGGAGGTACTGCGGCAACGGGCAACGGGTACAGAGCCCCTACTCCGACGCTGCCGCTACCGCGGCCCTGCTGCGTCCCCCGTCGCTGCTTGCTGCGCTCCTAATACTCCCAGCAGTCAAAGCCCAGATCGCCGCCTCCTGTATGGAGAGCAGAGCCCATCTGACACTTTGAGTCGCAGCGGGAAGACATGGACTCTTCCTCCGGGGTGTACCGTTTGGACAGCCATGGATGGGCCAGCAGCTCCGCCACACTCGCGCGCTGGGAGGGATCCCGGTTGAGGGCCTGAAGGGAGCGGGGGGAGAGCCGGGCGGGGCGGTCGCGGATGTAAGGATGTGCGAAAATAAGGAATAGGTAAGGATGATCAGGGGCAAATTCGTGAGACCCGAAATGCCTGAGGCATGACGCAGAGGAGCGAGGGCCTGGTGACAGGATCGTGGACGGCGGCTTACAGCGGACAACGGCATGCGTGTCGGGATGGGTGGTCGATAACACGGCTGAACGGCAGCGTATGAATCAATCCATGGGGGGAGGAATAAAACATAGAGGAGCCAAAATAAGCTGTGGAAAGGTGGGTCAAGGGAACCCTAGATGTTGAAAGCTCCCGGCCCACGCGCTCAAGGGGACTGTCTGCAGACCCCTTACCTGTTCCAACCAATCTGTAAACTCAGGGCTGAGATTGCTGGGCAGATTGACCTTGTTGCAGTGGGCGATGCTGTACAGCACGTTTTCGTAATGGTAGTGGTCGGGGCTGAAGGGGTGACACCCAGTCACGGCCTCCAGCGCCATCACGCCCAGAGCCCATACGTCGTTCTGCGGAAGGGCATATGCGGTGAAGGGACAGTAGGTGCACCGGATTAACCGATGACACGCAAAAAAGGGACATGCTTGAGGCTGAAGGTGAATCATAAAGCGCGCAGCGCGGACAGACGAGTTAGCGGCATCCCCTCTAGCACCCTCGCAGCTCTTGGCCACACCCATCCTCTGCCCCTCTGCTAGGACTCGTAAATAATAGTAATAATAATTTGTCGGGCGATATCCGATTACGGACGGCAGCAGCGAGGGCAAAGGAAAGGCAAGTCTTCTGGATGCATGCCGTGGATGCATGCCGTGCTCAGCAGGATGGAAAGGGGCCGAAAGGTGGCCTAAAGACAGCACGACGCCCATGCTTAGTTGTAGCGAGGCCCAATCACCCAAATCATTTCGACCGCAGGTCATCCGGGTGTTCTCGTGCGCGGGATCGAGTGTTCTACTCTGAGTGAAAGAACCGAACCCACAGGTGCGACCTTCCCGCTGGACTGCTCTTGCACAAACACTCCCCCCCCTGCGGCTGGCCACGGACTGGACCAACCACGGACTGGACCAACCTCCCCCTCCGCCTCCGTCACACATCCCGACCAGGAGTAGCCGAACCTCCCGAATAAGAAAGACTCCTTGGAGACCCCTTCCCCCCATCCGCCCCGCGCAATTAATTCCTACCCAGCATTGCATAAAACTGCACCCTGCGCCCTATGCCCACCAGCACGTCCCCAAGTTGGGTGTCCTCCACCAACTTAACGACCTCATCCACAGGGCCAAGTGAAAATCACTGCAACCCTACCAGCAGCAAGTCACACACTTCAATGCATACACTGAGGCGGCCACCCCAGCCTAGCCAGCAATGGCCTGCCTGGCGTACCTTGGGCCCAACCGCCGACTGCATGCCGTGGTTTCGGAACATGGCACGTAGCACTTCCGGCGCCGCGTACAGTGGGGTCCCGCCCGCCGTACAAATTACGGCGGGCGTCCTGCCGCTGCTGCTGCATTCGCTATCCATTGACCTGCAGCCGCCACTTGTGCAGCCCATACTGACACCACAACTATCGGTATCCGTGGCACACGCGTCCTCGGGGAGGTGGGTCGGTTGCGCTAGGCCAAAATCAGCAAGTTTGACGGTTTCAGAGCCGCTCACGAGGCAGTTTTCCGGCTTGAGATCCCGATGGGAGAAGCCCTAGGAAGCAATGTATTGAGTTTCAAAGGGTTGCAGATGAATGGATTGGGGTTGAAAGGGAGTAGGGATGGGGTATGGTAGAAGGGGCCGTGGGTTTGCTGGTTCCAAGGCGATGAAGGAGGGTGTGCTTGAGGAGCGATCGAAGGGTGTCAAAGGGTGTCAAAGGTGTTAAGGCATGTGTCGAAGACGTCCTTGTGAAATCTGTTTCGAGGTAGCGTGGCCGTGACGGACGGATTTCCAAAAGGGCGGGAAATATAGGGTTTGAGTACACAATCATCAAGTATGTTCAGTTGGGTTAGGGGAGGAAGGCATGCATGACCGAACACTGTCCTAGAAGGTCGTGGGCTAGGAAACAGGATCGCGATTACATCAGGTGCGGATGCAGCAGCTGGAACGCCAGTGACTGTTCCGGGGAGACACACCTTGTTGTGCAAAACATTCAGCGCTTGCAGCACCGGTGCGATGAAAAAGTCCCGGATTCTGCTTTCTGATAGCCCCTGCAAATGCTTTCTGAGATCGCCCCCTGCCGCGTACTCCAGCAGTAGGTATACACGGGCATAGTCCTCAAAAGCCTGCGTTCATCAACCGTGTTGGCGCCCTGTCCTTCGAGGCAACAGCAGAGTACACCATCCTCACCGCTAAAAATTGCACAATGTTTGGGTGTTGCAAGCTGGAGTGGATGTCGATTTCAGTTTGTACCTGTTGGCCAATATCGATGTAAGTTCTGGGCCAGACCGCATAGTGCATCCACTTGCTGTATCCCTTCGCACCTGTTGTCGTGCTCCTGGGCTCAGCTGGTCACGAAGATACGCTTTCAAAACCAGTTGAGTTCCGTTGCGTTTACACCTTGCGACTGACACATAGCAGTCACTGTGGTAAGCCAGTGGTCTACATGTCTCAAATGCATCGCTCAGGCAGCTGCGCATAGGGCCAAACCGCTCCGTTCAGGGGGGCGCCATGGCCCGACATCAAAGCAACCGCGAGCCAAGCATTACCACAAAATCATGGCTCCGCACCTTGCTTCCTCGATAGCAACGCAAATCTCTTGTGGACATGCTGCACTGTTACAGAGCAACTGCATTTGCGTCCGTGCGAGTTCGTCCCCCGAATGCCTTTATAATAGGTTTGGCAGGCCCTACCCTTACACTTCGGAGCACTATAACGTGTGAACGGCTGTGTAAGGCAACCGTTTCAAGTAAACACGCTCAGAGATAGACACCAAGAAGCGTTCAACGCTACAGCTATGAGATAGAGACTCAAGAGCTGAGCTAATATGCTTCTTCCTCAACGCATTCCCACCAGCGGAAAAAGTTTCGCGGTGCAGAGGTTGGGTCTTCAGGGTCTTCACACGGTGTGCCGTATTCATGTACGCTCGTGGCGGGCGGGTGTTCGTGCTTGTTCAGAGCACAGGATTTAGCTGTTTTAAAGTCATACGCCTAGGGCTTGCTCATGTCATACAACAGGTTACGGCTGTGCGCAGCCTAAATGCGTGACTTTTTGCGCTTGCATTCTGTCAATCCCATGCGTGCTTTGACCTTTACTGATAAAATCTTCTTCAACGAGGTCATGGAGTTACCGTACTAACAGGCGCGGAATATAGAGGTGCGGAATCGTTTCTTGGATTCGCCAACGGTCGAGGCAGTGCAGCACTAAGCCCGCGTAAGCACCTGTGTGTTAATGGATTTAAGACTCAAGCTTGTAAGTTTTTGATGGCGAAGTGGGGCATCATGTTTCTGACTCCTCGTTAGTTGAGAAGCCGGCTGAGGCTAACCGAAATGTGCTCTTCCTGAAGACCCATGCACAGGCCGTTATGAACCCGATCTTGCTCATCTCTGCGCACTACGGTATTCGATCAGATTCCGTTTGCAGCATACCTCTGCAAAAACACCTTTCAAACAATTTGGCCGCGGGCTTCGACTGCAAGCAAACCACCCAGTCCAAAAAGTCTGCAAATTCAGGTTTGAGCCACAAAAACCCACGTCTACATGCCCCAAACCCACCAGTATCATTTGATATTGCCATAAGCTGGTTGTTTACGGCGCATGGGAAGGCCTGCTTGGCGGCCTACTGTGGCTGCGTCCAGTTCTCTCCACATCTGTATACGAGATTCCCAGACCTCCTCCTTCTATAACCATGGAAAAGCGATAGCCTAGTTGTTTCCATGGCATCTGTTTCCACGCGTCATTCCATGCGACAAGCACATCTTGGAGGGATGCCTGTGTTATGGATCTAAGCAGCCGTTCCAATCCCCCTCTATCGTCCGCATGGCACAGGGGATCTCAACGGGTAGCGTGCGGACCAAAAATTCACTCGATTGCCGCCATGCAAAGGTCTACAAGCAAACACGGTTTTGCCCAGATCATTAGTGCCGATAGCTGACCGTGAAGTAACACAAGCCCGTTGCATAGCCTGTGCAAGGTGGATAGAATTGCGTGAAGGAGATTAACAATTGTCAGTGCACCGCGCGGGACTGGAAACGTCACTGCGTTAAGCGGTAAGGCTTAAAGGACCCAACAAGGCAGGGGCCGGATGCCAGGACATTACCAGCGCGGTTGCCATCCTTAATCGTACCCCGCCGCCTGCCTCTGTAGCGCAATACGAAGTAAGAAGCGATCATATGTCTTGGCCTTAGGGGGTTTTAGGTGCAAATCTTGAAATTTTTAGATTACTATTCTTTAATAGTCAGGTTATCTGCATCGGGCTGCACTTCTGTGCTTTCGACGGGCAGCGGCCTTCAGCAATACTTTCGGGGGAAGGTGGCGGGAAGCAGGTTCTAGCGCTGCGCACAGGATATGACGCGCAACCTAAAAAACTATAACAATTTTGAACGCAGAACATGTATTTTTAGTGCTCCCCTCGTATGGCGGCTGCAGCCGCGAGTTGACCGGCAGTAGTGAAGCCTGCAAATCGGGCTGCAGGAGGTACGTCTGGGTCATATCCACATTAAATTACATTTATTACAATTTGTGCTACCCGCCTGGGGTAGTAGCACCTGGCGGCGAATGCATCGCTACCCAGGTACCCCGTGAAGGTACAACGTACAGAATTTAATTTCTGTCTGGCGTTTGGATCCGTAGCTTTACAACTTTACTGGCAGAGCGATCTACACAAAGGGCTAGTGCGGCCAAGCCGACCCAGCCGCGAGTGTCAAGCGGCGAGCACCAAGAGGCTGCCTACTCTTTGTCTTGTAACCGCAAGAACCAACCGCATCACATGTCACATGTTCAATTTATATTTGGTTCCTATCCCTCACACCGGCTTTTGGTTGCGAAATTCGCAGCTTCGCGACGCTACCGACCGACTGTACAATAACAGGCGCACTGCGTCTGCGGCAATTATGCACCACCTCCAATTTTCCCCTTTGCTGTGTACTGTATGTGTCTCAAGGCACTAGCACATCCGCACTTGGCACAAAACACAGCATCGCAAAAAGAGTATGATTATGATCCCTTCACAAGTATACCGCATGGCTTCACACATGCGCTCTCTTCTCCCTCTCAACTCCATCACCGAGATCCTACTCTCCCTTCACTCTCACACTCCAAAAACAGGCATACATACACGCGCGCACACCGGCGACAGCCAGCGAAGCACAACGGCGATGTAAGACTTCAACCGGGGTGCATCACAGCCGTTTTATCTCTATTGCCGGCACCATACGGGCCATGCACCTTCACATCTCCCGCAGCTCCCGCGGCGGAAAACGGATATGCAATCAAGATCACGTATGTGCCACCCCTAAAAGCCTTTCCAGCCCGAGGCGCACCGCTGCTATAACTCCTCAGTTGCGCCACTCACACCCTGTTAGCCAACACATCGACAAGCCCGCCAGCTCATCCTCCTTTCCTTCTGTCTGCACGGCGCCAGCCCATCTCCCACGCAGGCCACTACGTGGTCACTGGTAATCAGGCAGCTATGGCCACCGCCATCATGGTTCGTGCCACGAGTGGTGGACCAGGAACATCACCATCTGCTCACCACCAGCAATACCTACAGCCGCTTCGATAACGGTGGAGGAAAGGGCGTCCGCCCAGCATGCCAGGCATGGCTGCACACTCGGGCCGGCCTTCCTCCGCAAGGCCCATCGCCACCACCACCACCACCACCACCATCGCGACCTACCAATTAAACGAGCGGTGGGCACAACGAGCGATACCCGGAATCAGCGAGGTCCAGCGCCGGCCACCGCCTTTTTTGACCCACAACCGCGCTCTCAAAACTTCTCACACTCACTCTCACATCGTCAACGTACGTACGTATGTATGTATGTGTGCGCATGTCACGTCTTCATTATAATTGATATGCGTTTTTGCACTGGCAGCTGGGCCGCCCATCTGCAGGCTCTATGCCCCCCTTCCTTTCACTCCCTCTTCGAACAAGCGCAAGAGCCCGGCAGCCAACATCACACCAGCACTCCGCCGCGGCAACAGCCTCACCGCGCCAGGCGGCATAGAGCAAGCGAACCCTTTCCCCGGCCGACTCCAGCAACACGTCTCACCCATACGTCTATCTACTATGTGGGATATGGTGCGTGCCGACGAAGACGGCAGCAGGCCAGGCAGCCGCCCCGGCCTGGCACATTGACCAAATACATATTAAAGAACCACGCAACGCCTCTGGTTGAAACTAGAGCCCTTTACCGCATTAAAAGGCTGTGCAGGTCAATAAAGAAAAGACATGTCCTCCATATGAAGATCCCAACCTGCTCTGCAACACGCCCATCATTCCTCTTCACCGCAGCGTGCGATATCCACATTCCTTAAACAGCACCCCTTTTAGGGCCCTGTGTCTTAACCAATGGACCTTGACCCCACATAAGTAGAAGTAGCTTCAAGCTCAACATCTCAACACGGGATTTTCACCGCCTTCCGCACACACTACGTCCCCATCCCTGCAATCGCAAGCAGAACAGACACGCTGCGCAAGGTCCGGACGGCGTTGGGCCCCCCTTTCTTTGGAATTAAGCTCCCCCTAAGCCACCGCTCCTAAGCCTCGCCAAACAAGCCCCGCTACCTCTCCCTCTACCACTGCACACACTACCTCGCACGCTTGCTCATCCTCAGGGGTGTCTCTCTCCCAAGCCGCTGCTACTCCAATACCGGGACCCCAGCCCGCGCCACTTACCCATCCACGCTCTCCACAGGGACCCATCAGGCGGGTGAGCCCCTCAGAGCCGCGCCGTGACCCGGCGCCGAATTGGGAGGCCTCGGCTCAGTCGTAGCTCGTGTCACCCCCATTGAGTTCAGGCCTTGTCCGCCAGCGCCTGCAGCGCCGCGTGCGCCATGAGCTCTGTGCCAATGAGCACCGAGGCGACCGCGGTGGCTGCGGAGTTGGCTTCCTGAGCCGCGTCCCACTGGGCCTTATACGCGCGGATGAGGTAGCCGCCGGCGGGATCTAGAGTGGTAGTGAGAATAGTAGTAGAAGTAGTAGAAGTGAGATGAGTGGTATAGTACGATAAAGCCTCAATACAATCGCGGGTGGAGCGGCGGAGCCCTAGAGGTCGGGTGGGGTTCAGCTGTATGCATGCGTGCATGCGTGCGCGTGTGCCGACAGTTGGGTTTGTCAGGTTGGTTTTTGTTGCAGATGTTCTTATGTGGCCGTTTAGTAGTTCCGGGATGCAAGGAAGAAGGAGGAGTAATAGTTAGCAACAGCAACACCCAGCAGCAACAAATAAAGCCGCAGCCGCAGCAGCACCCCAACCCGCACATGGTCCTCAACGACCCGTGGGTCGCTCACTCTTTTCCTGCTACCTCCATCTGCCTCGCAGGTGCACACACCAGCCGCACCTGTGACTAGGTGCTCGATGAGCTTGTATTTGATGGACAGAGGCGCCAGAGTGAACACGACCAGTGCGAACGCGATCAGCTGACCAGAGGAAAGAGTGGAGGCCAGGAAGCCGCGCCAAAAGTAAGCGGGCAACTGGAAGAAGGTGTTGAAGAAGTCATTCGTGGCAGCCAAGTCCAGGGTCGCCAGCAGCTCCATGCCAAAGACATGGAAGCTAGCCTGAGGGGGGGAGAATGGGAAGAATGGGAAGGAGAAAGGTTTTTTTATAACCCCGGGGGTAATGCGGGCATTCTATTAGTGGCTGCACATCCTACGTGGAGGCGAGTTGGACAGGGTGAGGGAGAGAGTGGGATATAGACAGCATTTGGCGGGAATACTGGAGAGGATGAGAGGAATGTGCGGAAGTGCCCCCCTTCAGTGCCCTTGACTCCGTTCCTTCCTCTACCCTACCTTCACTCCGTCCACACTCTCCTACTGCACCCCATCCCAGGGAGCATCCTCCGCCTCCGCGTTCCCCCCCTCCCCTTCCCAACGCCACTGGACCTCTGCCACTGGTCGCAACTCCGCCCCCAAAACCGCCCGAAGACGCGTTCACATAAACCTCTACCGCAGTCCATGTGGCCTTACCACCTCTCCCAAAATCCAACAGTCGTACACATACATACAGTACATACATACATGCATACATACGTACGAGAGCACCCTCCCTGTCCACGTGAGCACCACCGCGCCCTCCGCACCTGCGTACGCTTCTCCAGCGGCCATAACTTGTCCCACACTCGCTTGCTGGCCTCTGCCACACCCAGTCCCGCGCCCAGCGCCGCCGCAATCTCCTCCGCCACCAGGGGGGCTTCCCGGAAGGACCTCGACACGCTGAACCCCGTAGCGGGGTGCACCAGATTAGCGGCAGCACCAAAGGCCGTAACGGACTGACTGGCCAGCGGCAGGGGCCCACCCACGGGGATGTAGCTCCACTCCTCCTCGTGTATCTGTGATCGCGGGGGGGGGAGGGGGAAGACGAACCACGAACGAGTGAAGCTGCTGCCAAGGAAAGAGTGTACAAGAAGGCGGGGGGGGGGAGGGGAGGGGAAGAGGAGGAGGGAAGGATGATGGCAACGTCATTGCTCTTTCCGAAACAGGTGCGCACAGGTCCTTCGGTCCTGTACTGCCCGTCCTCCTTGAAACCCCAATACGACATGTCATGTCACGGTCATGGTACGACGCAAGAAGACGTGTGTGCCGTACCTTGGTCACTGAGATGCCCATGGCCTTCAGCCGCCTGGTGAGTCGCCGTTTAAGAACCGCAAATGGCAGTGCGGGTTTGGCCACCAAGCACGTCTCCTCCAAAAACACCCGATTGCCCCCCAGGGGCATGGCGTACAGGAAGGAGGGGCACTCGTCGGAGCTGCCCCACAGACCGTCGCCCGCATTGGGGTGCTTGCCAGCCTGTGTGCGTACGTATGTATGTATGTATATGCGCACAAGCGGTGTTCGAGGGGAAAGGAAAACAGCTCGTAACTGTGTTTGTATGTGGGTGGGTAGATGGATGGGTTCAACTGGTGACTGTTTCAAAGGTGCACATGGTGTTGGATCGGGCAATGGTCGTACGACCCAAGATGCCGTACAGCAAAAAAAGCGGGGTGAAGGCCTCCCAGGGCTAAGGGAATGGACCCGCTGATGTGGCGGGTGGAGTGGGGGTTTTGTAAAGCTGGTGTGTGCGTGTGTATGGGGGGGGCCCCCGCACACGTTCCTGTCGTAACTGCCCTCGCCCTTCACCACAGTCTGTACTCGCTACAGAGCCCGCGCCGTTCTGCAAACGTACGGCACCTGAACATTGGGCGCTGTCGCGTCGTACAGTCCCGTGTGGTGCCGCCGGAAGTCCATGAAGAGCATTAGATCCGACGGGTAGGCGCCGTCATATCCCTCCACCTCCGCCTCGATGCCGTACGCCGTCTGCGCCGCCACGATGGGCGCATCGTCTTCGTACCGCAGGAACTTGCCGCCAGCCGCCCCCGCGGCCAACGTGGTCAACCTACAGCAGCAGCAGCAGCAGCAGCGAGCGCGGGACCGCGTGCGTTGCATTTGTAACCCACCCTACACACATGCAGTCCTGTCTACCCCCTCCCCCCATCACGCGCCGGAATGCCCCGATCCCCACACTGAGCTGCAGCTGCCGATAGTCCTGGACATGTGGGATCATGGTGACTGCTTCTGCTGTTACTGTAACTGCTTACAATTTCGCAGCGTTGTCCACGAACCTTGTTCTTTCCCTGCTGCTACTGAAGCTGCTGCTTCCTTGTTGCATTCCTTGTTGCGTTCCTTGTTGCATTCCTTAGCTACGCTGCTGCGGCCAACAAATACCTGTGCCAGAGCTCGTCATGGGCCCGTCAGCTGATGGCATCCCTGTGCTCCACCATCGCCTCTGCGATACGCTTTCCCCCCCCCTTCCCCCACAGCGCCAACCACCACCCCCAGCATCGTCACCATTACCCGCCGCCGCCACCCCCACCCCCGGGACCGCCCACAGCCCTGGGCAAGGACTAGTCCTCAACTCTCCCCCCCCAAGATCACCCGCCGCACTAGCACCCTCTACCCTGCCAGAAGCCACACAGCGACCCTAGGGGGAGGGGGAGGGGGAGCGAACCAACCACCAAACGTGCCGTCGTTTGCATACCGTCCACATCCTCGCACCCTCGCCCTCCTGCGCAACTGCCTCCTCACCTGACTTTGTTGTGGCCCTTTCCGGAACACCAAACACAAATGAAAGTGAAACTAGATTACAGCAAGTTAGAAAGGGCCACCGATGCACCGCCCGGTGTTCCCCACACACTCTCCCACAGCGCGCACATCTCAGCATCCCACCATCACCCATCCACACACACACAAACACCCATCAATGTGTACCTGCTACGGTACACGGTGCCGTCCTTGGTGGTGAGCTGCGTCACCTTGCCGGCCTCCACCACCTGGATGTCCGCCACTTCGGCGCTGCTGAATCGCACCCCAGCCGCCTCGCAAACCTCCAGCAGATGAGACCGCAGCTTGCGGCGGCTCACTCGGCCGTAACCCCGACCCACACGCACCTGCGAGGAGGGGAAACACGGTGGCGTGAGCCGCCGCATGTGTACGGCAGCCTGGAGTTCGCCGCGGGCTGTGGTGATAATGGCACAAATGTATGTATGTATGTATGTATGTATGTATACAGGCGGGCATGCATATGGTTACTGCGTAGCAAGCTGATAAGTGTATTGAAGCGGACACGTACGCGGGCCATACCACGATGCGTTCGTTCTGATTCCCAAATGCCAGCCACTCTTCCCCTTCCTGCCCACCTCCTTCCCCTCCCCGAAGTAGCACACGGCGTCCGGCCACGAACACTCGAGTGTGTGTTCCAGACCCAGTGCCTGGAACTCGTCAGTCCACACGCCATAATTGTTGACGATTGGGACATCCAGGCCTGCGCGGCGGGAAGGTGGTCGGGGGGATAGGGCCGGGCGAAGCAGTTTAGCGGGCATGTATGTCGGCGGCCTTCGAGGGTGCGCGTTTAGGCGAAGGCTGAACGGGAGTTGGTCCAAGCGACTATGCGAAGGAAGGAAGGAAGGAAGGGAAGAAGGACAGGCAGGCATGTATCCAAGATAGGAGCGGCGAAGGGCGAAGCCCACAGGCGCGACCTTCTTAAGACGAGTTCGTCAGGCATGACAGAAAGAATGTTGTGGTCACGCAAACATTTTTGATATAATTTCAAAACTGCAAGCGCTTTGAGGGAAGGATGACACAGTTCAGAAGCCCGTTCCTTTCGACCAGATAGGTAGCTACTTGCAGCTAGCTACCGACCTAGGACGTTAACGGTGAGGCCGCGTCGCGCCAGCTCGGCAGCCAAGTAAAGGCCAGCTGGTCCAGCACCAACGATGGTGACATCGGCGGTGGTCGAGGAATCGGCCGGCTGGAGTACCGATGCGATGCTCGCCTGTCCTGCGTCAGCCTTGCTTGCCTGCGGTCATCAATGTGCAGTGCTAAGGAGTGCTAAGCATGAGCAGATACGGAAAAAACGTTGCTTTTTAATGAACATACTTGCAAATTCACCAGAGCTGCCTCGTAATGCCCTTCCCTGATGGCTTGGTTTAGGGCCGAAGGCGCAAGTACTTCCACAAGCGCTGGACGTTCAATGACAGTTGTTTTCATCGTTGTAAAGGCTGACGCCTTATCAGTCACGCTAACGCTGCAAGAGATATTGCGGCCGCTGCTCACACGATGGACTGCGGTCCCCTTGCCCAGCGCCGACCCGACGCGCAGCCCTGTCGACTGCGACTGCATCGAGCCACGGGTCGTGTCCTGGAGCTTCATCCAGCAAATTAAAATCCAATAGAGGATGAAGGAGTGAACGCTCGTCTAACGCGCCGTGTGTCTCAACCGGCAATTTACGCCACTGCCGAATGCAAAAGATCCACTAGTCCAACAAACGCGACCTTCACCGAAGCATCTATAAAGTAACTCCGAAGGGCTGGACTGTCAATTGGACGCGATGGACGCCAAATAAGTGGCCAAAAAAGATCTGGGAGCTTGGCGGTGGCAATTCAAGGCAGCAATGGGAGTAGAAAGTGAACAAGCATGGCAACTAACGTATAGTGCTAGGTTTCATTTAGAAAGGCAAGCCTACCCTTGCTGCTCCGAAACTGGAACAAGATGCTTAACCGCCAATAATGACAGTGGTCGTGAACATGTCTGGAAGTTATGATAATTAATTGTGGTAGTTTCTGATATTGCTCATTCGGTAATCTTGCAGGAATTGCTCTTCGCACTTTCACCTTAAAGTCCTTACTTAGCAGAGCTGCATCCCTCGGCTGCTATAAGCTGTGCAACATTAAAATTATAAGCAAAAAATATGAATATAATTTTCATGCTACAGTGCGGGAGTTTGTTCTGACCTTCCTAAGTGGACTTGCGCTCAACGGGTTTAGCTCCCAATTAGCATCCTTATATATCGTGACCGCAAGCCCAGCTTATTCTGCCAGCGGGCGGGCTGGAAGACACTTTGTCCGCGATGGCGGACATTTTGTTCGGGATGGTGAACCGCGATTCGGCATTCTGTTGGCAAGACAGGGAACTTCGCTTTGACAGCAGCTTGACAGATATCAATCCACGGCAAGGGGAGGAGGTCCTTTCCGTGCTGGTAGGGTCATGCCGTTGGCTTGCACATGCAGCTGTCAGCGCTTTAGCGACGCTCCGCGTTCCTTGCATGTGTCTTTGCAGGAGTCTGTTGAGGACACGAAGGGGAATAACGGTGATTTAGGGGAACTCGTGATTACTACCCTGCGGCTAATGTGGATATCCAAGAAGAATCGCCGGACAAATATTTCGGTCGGGCACAGCTGCATCACGTCAATCAACGTGCGTTCAGCGACGTCTCGGCTGAAGGGTACGGCTGATCGGGGCTCTAAGAAGCGCTTATTGAGGCTAGCTGCGTAGTACAAATGCTGACCGCCAATCCCCCGTCAATCCGTCACCCCGACCACAGGTCAAACGCAATCGCTTTTCATACTCACGAAATACCATACCCATCGCTTTGAGTTCGTATTCACGGCGCTGGCAGATGGCGCGGACACGCTATTCAGCTGCGTACAGGGAGTTTTTAAGGCGTACGACAACAGTCGTCTGTACCGCGAACTGAAGCTGCGAGGTAAACCCAGGATGGTCTGCCCGCTAAGGAGGGACACACAACAGAACTAACATACTCGAAGCGCCGCACATCTCGCAGCCTAAGGGGGGTCATAAGGTCCTCAAGGGCCCCTGGCCAGCCGGTGGTCTGCAGGCCTTAACTGCTCAGGGCCACGTTTCTAACTGACCAAGCTTCCTGCCTGCATATGGCTGCACGGATACACACATATGCTCTTTCATTCGTTCGGATGAAGGAAGCGGTCCATGGAAAGAATCCACCTGTTACCCTGGCAATTCACATCGGGAGTCTCCCTAAGGAGATCTAGGGAGGCAAGGGGGAAGGGGAAGGGGAGAGGAGGGAGCACTCACGGAGAAGGGAGGGAAGTGGGGGAGGTCAATCTCGAACCCCAAAACCCAGTCTAGACACCCAGTTAGACGTGCCGGTCGGGCTGGTCAGACGGCGCAATGGCTCGTTCATTACAGGGGAAAAAGGCGCCTCCAAGCGCGGCGCCCCCTCAAGTACAGCGGCCATAGGTATTACGGCCGCTGTACGCCTGGCCCCTGCCCCTTAGGACTGCTGTGTCCGCGTCGCACGGAGAAGCTTAAAACCACCATTACCACTACCACCACCAGCGCCAGAAAGGACGCTAAGTCCTTTCTGATCAATTCCGCCCTCATCACGAGCAGGAGCAGCAGCTCCGCATGGTCTCGTAGGCGGCCTGTGGTGGTCTCAGGGTGATGAACCGGCAGGGAGTTGAGGCCGCAGCTGTCTCCCGGAGGCAGTTTCGCTATATTCTCCCCCTAGTCCCCCAGCTATCCCGTGCGTTTCCATTTTCTTCACTTTCCCCCAATCCAGCCCATCTCCCCAATTCTACCTTCTCCTCGCCCTCATCCCTCCTGTGCTGAGGCGCAAAGGCGCTTTCATCGCCGACCGGGAGCTGAAGCTGCTTCCCCTGGAGCAGACTTACAGCCGCGTGCAGGGCGTCTACAACCTGAGTGCGGAGCAGGGCAATCTGGGCGCCTTCTTCATCTCCAACGTGCGGGTGGTGTGGTACGCCCAGATGGCGGAGAACTTCAACGTGTCCATACCCTACTTGCAGGTGAGGCCCGCCAGGAGGGTCGGTGCTAAGACGGCTCACAACTAAGTTGAATGCAGGAGGTGATACATGTGTGATGGGGGAGGGCGATTAATGTAATGGGTTTTGGTAGAGCCTGGATGGTGGGGTTGGGTGGTGCGGGGTGATTCTCTTGTTAGGTGGGCGAATCCTGGTGAAAGGATCATCGGTGTATGCCGCTCATGGCCCATTCATTGTTTGATGAAAGGCCCGCGGAGGCCCGCAGGCAGCAGTCGTAGGAGGTGTGACGTGGTCGCCAAGGTGAGGTACCGGAGAAGCGCACACGGTATTTGGGCGGGGAAAGGGAATATGAGGATGGGAGAAAAGCAAAGGGGGCCCAGAGGGTGGGTCAGGGAAAGGAGTGCGGTGAGGGGACATGGAGGGTTTGCTAGGGGCTAGTAGGGGGCGGAGTCCACACGAGGCGATGACAAGGTTGCGGTCGGCATGGTGGTCCCCACTTGCGCGGGATTCTGGCATCCTCGGTGGGTGGGTGGGTGGGTGGATGGCAGGCGCGGCGGCCACTGGTGAAGAAGATTGTGAAGCAGATGCGGACATGCAGTGTGTGCGGATCCGATTGTGGTTGTGGTGGTGGTGGTGGTGGTGGAGGTGAAAGGGTTGGGTGGTGAGGCGGCTCCAGTACGCTGGCTTAGCTGGGAAATCGGCTGCGAGGACGCCTAGACAGGAGACCGCTGTTATCGCTGTCCGTGCTCGGGTGTTTGGTGGCGGAGGGGCATCCCCTGGGCTGGCGCCGACATCGTCCGTCAGCAAGCCCTTTCCCTCAACACATATCCCGTTGCTCTGCGGCCCTGTTTACCAACCGGACAGTGCGGTCCGATGCGATGTGCATCCCATTATGCGCTCCTCCTCACCGCACCCGGTGCTCTCCCTTGCCGCTCCTTCTCTTCCCCCTTTCCCTCCCCGCCTTCCGGCCTCCATAAGCCAATTGTTTAGCTCACTAACAGTTTATTCACAACGCCAAAGTCCTGATCCTGGCCGTTGTTGGTCATGCTTGACGACGCCCTGCTCCTGGTTATGCCCACCTGCTCCTCTGCTCACCTAATCCTGGTCATAATCTTCTGTGCGTCTAGCGCCCCACCCTCCGGTCACCCTCTGGTCTCTCCCCCCGCACCGGTATCAGATCCGGTCCGTTAAATTGCGGGACTCCAAGTTCGGCCAGGCGCTGGTAATTGAGACCAGCGCGGCCAGTGGTGGCTACGTGCTGGGCTTTAAGGTGGATCCCAAGGAGACCCTGGACTACGTGTACAAGGAGATCAGTAGCCTGTGGCAGGCAAGTAGGCAGCGTAGGCCGCTCCGCACCACCACCGCACGCGCCATGCCCCCCCCTGTTTGCTTAGCAAACTGTCCTCTGATGCCGTTTTCTCCCTGGTAAAGCCGGATGCATCCAGCTTTCTATCTTCGAGGCACCGGTGTGGCGTAGATGGGTAGGTGACCGGGACCCTCCGGGCCTTATGAGCTTACCGGCTTACGGGCGGAGTAGTAAAGGGGCGAAATGGTATCGAGGACATTGGTGTCAACAGTTGTCGATGTTCAAGCGTCGAAGGGAAAGACTAACCGATAGGAGTCGGACACTCATGTGTTGCATTTCCCGAAAGCTTGTTCCAAGTATTGTCGTGCCGGAAGGGGGGTATAGAGGAAGTAAGCAGAGAACGAAATATGTGAGAAGGGGGGGGAGGGAGGAGGCTAGGTAATAGAGCGTAGGGGAAGAGGGGTGGGGGGTCTAAGCCTGGGGGGACACCGCGCTGGTTGGGCTGCGTGGAGGGTGTTTTTGAGATCGCGCGCACAGCAGAGACGTGTGCTAGAGAAGGGGTGTTTTTGGCCCCTTGAAAATGGATGGTGATGGATGAGGTGCGGCAGTATGGTGGGGTTGCAGAGTTGCAGTATTGTGGGGTTGCAGAGTCAGCAGTAGCATCCAAGCTGCGTGGCACTGTATTGCGGCAACTGTGACCTGTGCAGGTGTACGCGGCGCACCCGGTCTTCGGAGTCGAGTACCGACCGGAATCCTCCGGCGCTTCGGGAGGCGGTGCGTTTGGATTAACGCCATCGTAAGTATGTGCGACGGGTTATGCGACTACTAGAAACTGAAAGGAAATTGAGGTGGCCGCGCTTATTGTCCTACTCTTGGTAACACTGTCGCGCAGGGAGCAAGACGTAGAAATTGTGGACCCGCCTGACCGCGGCGATGCGCTGGCCCTGTATTACGCTGATGCAACGAAAGGCGTCGACCGCGATCCCGTCTACTGTGCCGAGCTGGGGCTTGCCATTGAACAACTAAAAGAGGGGCTCACCATCGAGCAGCTGTGGAGCGTGCTTTAAAGAAGGATTCATGTTCTTTGTGCACATTGACGTGTCGGAGTGCCGAAGCCCTTCTGACGTGTTCCTTCGTTTCTCTTGCTGGGCTAGTTGTATTACTTCATGATGACTCTTAATTCATGCTTTAGTTGTTTATTCATGCGAATCTTGTGATGGTTCGCGGCATGGAGCGTGGTTTCGGCGTGGATTTGTTCCGCCACTAAGCCCATGCTCTGAACAACTAATAAACATATTTGCGCCATACATGTAACGCAATTAAGACGGATTTGTGATTTCATTTCACCTTTCTGCTCAGTGCATATCGGAAACTTCCGATCTTCCGGGATATGGCGCTCTCCTGCCTTAACGCACGCGCCGTGCGCGGCACTGGGCTTCGGACTCGGAGCCTGGCCCGTTGCATTGTTCGGGCACAGGCTGGGTCCAGCAACACTAAAGTGAACTTCAAAATTCACCGTCATGTCGAGTTTGGCCAGTCGCTTCTTCTGGTTGGAAACATCCCAGAGCTCGGATCGTGGGACGCCAAGCAAGCTATGGCCTTGAATTGGGCTGAAGGCGATAACTGGTCGACCTCGGCGACTTTACCTGTTGGGTAAGCTGAGGCCGTGCTTCACGACCCGGTTAGGTCCTTTAATGTATAAGTTGATCTCGTGCTTATTTGCCTGCGCGTCGTCGAGTTCATTATTTGGTGGTGTCGGACTTTCCGTGACAAAATATCCTCGGCGGGCATGTCCCCAGGGCTTCTCTCGAGTACAAGTACATTATCAAGCGAAAGGATGCATTTGATTGGTGCCCCGGGCAAAATAAAGTAGTTGCTCTGCCTCCTGCGGGAAGCGTGGAGGTGAGCTTGGCCGGTCAGCTTAATCCGCGGACAGCTTTCATAGAGCTTGACCCTAGCTACGTCCTCGAGATACAGTTTACTAACTGTATCTCTCACTGTACTTGCTGCAAAATGTATATCATGCAAATTGAGAGACCTACGGTTCTGCCCAGAGTCCTCGCAGAAAGCTCGCCGAGGCTGCACTAGCTTGGGCCGCTTGCAGTGCTTGCATGGCGTGGCGTCGTCACTATGGCCTAACCATTCCCATATCCATTATACGCGGACCGCAAACTCGCAGGTCACGGATACTTGGGAGAATCCCCACGGTTCTGTCGTGACCCTTGCGCCGCTTGAGGTTGCGCCCGATCAGGACTCAACTTCATCAACCACCTCGGAGACACTGGTTGAAACAAGCCCCCTTATCGAAGCGAATGAAGTCCTAAGCGATGTGCTGTTGACTACCAACAGTGCTTTGCCGGAGGTTGCCTCGGCGGTCAGTACCGTTGAGAACCTTCAGGTACCGGAGGTAAGCTCGAAGCTCTTTTCCAGCTGCTATCCTGTTGGCACCGCCGTATCGTGCCCTGCCATTCCCCAACGATTGCTGAAATTTGTACGTTATGCGTGGCTGCTGTCACAAGTGGGTATGCTAGGCCTCTAGGGACAGTTGCAGCAAACAAATAAACACAGACATTCACACGAATCTCGAACATGCATGGCCTGTTCCCCGTACGGCATTCATGACACCCGTGTCCCGGCGCAGCTGGAGAACGGTATCCCCATCCCTGCGGTCCTGGCGGCTCAGCACCAGCAGCCTCCCGGCTTGCTGGCCAACAACATCGTGCAGGGAGTGCCCTTGGGGGCCGTCGCGGTGAACACCGACCCCATCACCCAGTACGAGGAGGCCGACAAGTACCAGGTGAGGAAGGGGTGTGCGGATGGGTGGGTACAGTGGGCGAGGCGAGCTGAAGCATGATTAGCGTGTTAAGCCGCATATCGATGAGAGGTCGTGTCTTGTTGCTTCTCCTTCGGGCTTCCCCATCGGTGTTAGGACTTTGCGGTGTGGTCTTTGCATTGAATGGGTGAGGGGCTTCTCGCCGGCTGCGGCTTTTTTATCCTCCCTGATCGCGTCCTTCATTTGCTACTTCCGCAACTTTCCGGTAAGATGTATAGGAAACGAACGGCCAACGGGTATTTGAAATGTGCTGTGCTGCACACTCTGGCATGCAATTGTGCGTCGGCATTTCGCCGGTGTCGCTTCTCTTCTCCCCTCGTCTTAACAACCGATGTATGTTTTCCATTGCTGCCGCAGTAGGTAGTCGAGGTCAACGGCGCGGATAAGAATGGGTCCATGGACGTCCGTGCTGCGTTGTCGTCCACCACCGTCGCCGCCAAGTCTCTGGATAAGATGACGATGGCCGAGCTGCGCAGTGAGGTGAAGCGCCGTGGCATGTCGCCCCTGGGCAACCGACGCGATCTGCTGATGCGGCTGCAGAAGGCTGGTGTCCTGTGAAGCGGTCTACGGTGCGTGAGCCGACTGCTGCATCGCTGCATCAAGCTATGGGGTCCCGGCGAGCATTTGAAACTGCCCCGTGATGTGGGTCGGGTGCGGTTTCGGCGGAACGATACGACCGTGTCGAGCAGTATATCTTGTTGATTCTACTGTTGTGCGGTGGTGCATCAGTTTCCTGGCTGCACCGTGATTGGATAGAGGTGTTTATGGCGACAGTTGTTTATATCGTGAAATTACTTTTCCAGAACATTCCTGGTCAGTGTCATCTGCGGTTCGTGGTCGTGTCGCCCTGTACATTTCTAGGGACATGGATCCCCTTACTGCATTTGGGAGATAGTGAGCCTGGCTACAGCAAGAAATCGATTATGTTCAGCATGGCCAATGTCCTAAAGGGCTGTACCCGAGTATGTTGCTCGAGGTTTCTGGGACAGGCTTCGTGAGCGAATTTTGACTCTACGCAGGTTCACGTGTGATAATCTGTGTGTCCTTCGTCTGCCGATTTTTGACTGAAAACTGGTTTCGCGTACGTTTCCTAGAGACACATCGGTCAGAAGTTTACACAATTTCAGGTGTGCACGGGTATCATGTACCAAAGGCTGGGCGATTCGCGCAACCCCGAGCCGTAACGACCCGTGTCGTATGCCTGCAAAGTATTCGGACACATCGCCCTGTGTGCTTCCTCTACATTGTTGTGTTGTGCTGCTGTGCGAGGCCATTTTACGCCAGCAGCTCCCTCAACCATGCTGTGATAGGGATTGCTATTGAGCTGAATCTGTAGTAGCCGTAGTCGGTACCCTCGATGTCGCCATACGCACACCTTGCTTCAGCGACAAGTCCAGGGAAAGACCTTCGTCCACGCGGCGTCGCAGGGCCTCCCAAGTGTCTTGAAACCCCGGCGTGTAATCCTGAGTAATTGTTAGGCAGCGGTGCGTGATGGATCAAGTGCGTGTTTTCAATACGCACTCGTACTGTAGAGATGGTGTCAATAGTAATGTAACGCCTAAATGAGGAATGTGCCCACGTGCCTTGCGCCAAACCGGTTATTTCTGTTCCGTTACCGAACACCCCACCGACGGACCTAACCTCACCACAATCATGTACAGGCTTGTGCTTGCATACACGCCAGCGAGGATGGCACGCTTACTGTACCACGTTACGTCAGTTGAACCGTCGCCCAGCATGGCCCAGATGTCATCAACCAAGCTGAAGAGAAGTTTAGCGCTATGTGCAGCATTGCTGGGTCTTGCCGCAACTGCAAGTGCTTGCGGCCAGACGTCGATTACTGGCTTGAGCATTTCGAGACGCATTTGCAATGCCTCGGCAACACGCTCGTTCAACGCCAGTGCTGCTAGTTCTTGCTTCCTCGCCTCCAATTCCTTGATGCATCTGGAATTGCATTGCTCCATGAACTGCTCTACTAGTTCGCCCTCTCCGCGCGGGAGAAGACCAATAACAGCAGGAGACAACCCGAGATCACGAGCTGCTGCAATAAGAGCAGCATCTGTCCAACCCCGCGCCGCAACATGCTTCAAGGCTCCATCGAGCAACAAGTAGCGGACTGAGTAGCCCGGTGGCGACGAAGAATAAGGTCGCCCTGATGTACTGGCCTGGCCACAGTCGACATGGTGCACCAGTTTCGGCCAGCCTTGCGAGGCCAATTCGTGCCATCGGTTCGCTGTCACAAGTTGTCGATATAGGCGTGCTGCCCGTTCCATCAGCTTTGGCATTCCCTTACAGTCTTTCCTGTTCAACCCAATAGTGCATACGTTGCATGGACTGTTCAACACCAAACCTATGGCCACGGTCGACCGCCAATCGTAGCACTTCAATAATCCGGCTTCTCGTGATATTAAATGTATATTCCTCGATTAAACAGGCAATTGGAATATCACTGGGAAAGAAAGCGTGACGGTTGGCAAACTGAAAACGGTCGACCACAGACCAGCTCTTCAGCACCGTAGACCGGCAGATTCATGGCAACACTACCTGTCAGTCCTATCCGTATAGCGCACCCTTGGTCAACAAACGCCTCCATGGAACGATCTAGGCCCTGTAAGGGCCACTATCACTAGGGAGCGGCGCCGTTTGTTGTCCTCTTAGCGTGGTAGTCCCTGTGCTGGTGTAATCCACAACACCTTTAACCCCGTGCTCTCCGCGGCGACAACCGGTTTCCTTGCTAACTCCCTAACTCCTCCTCCCGTCCTTTTTCCCGGCTACACCGCACGTTTAAGCCTGCGAATCAGATCACTGCCTCGACGGCCGGCCCTTCGAACATCTTACTACTACTCCAGCACACCCAACCATCTCCTCCTGAGACCCCAACCGGTGTCCCCTTCCCGCTTCGCCGTGACTCACAAACACGAAAGGGCCACCGTGCACCGACCGCCGCCTCAGTGTTTCTTGGGCTTTTTGGCCCACGTGAGCGTAAGGCCCAGCAGCCCCGCAGAGTGGAATGCCAACGCCGCCGCGCAAAACGCAAGACGTGGCGCAGTGGCGGCCTTGTCCGCCATGCCCACCCAGCTGGCCTGCTCCTTCTTGCTGCGCCACATGAAATGCCGGCAAAAGCCGTTGCTGGAACGTGACTTTTCCTCGTCACGCGTCAGGTCGCGATCCACCAGCTCAGGGGAGTCGTCATCCACCGCAACATCCGACTGCCGCCGCCGCATCTTTGGTGGTAGGTCAATGTGGGAAAGAGTACACGGCGCCAGAGTTCCGGGTTGAGTTGGGGGCCAGGCACGGGCGGAATGCTAAGGGATGTCCGAGGACGTCAAGCAATACATAACATCTATTTTTGTTATTGAGGAAGGATCGTCAACATTCCTAGAGGAAAGCAAAGCCAGGACGGCCTCCGAAGAGATGGAAAAAGGCTGACCGCCATGGCGTCTGCTGCAACACCAGGACTAGACTTGTGCCCTCAGGACACGCAACAGTGATGCTGGTGGGATATTGCAGGCAGGCAGATATATATTCCTTCCGAGACTGCGCCACAGCTGTGTGGATGTCGGACATAAAAGGGGTCTGCACGATACCATGGAGAACCGCGTACTTCATTCCACGAGACGTACCCGGTCCTTCCGCCGCCGTTCGTCCTCTCCGTCCTCCTCCCCATCCTGAGGCGCCTCGCTCAGCCCCCGGGTCTCCTCCCCGTCATCCTCCCCTTCCGTGTCGCTGCTACCGCCCTCATCTGCCTGCCCCGGCGTCGCGCCGGGCTGCGCCTCCGATGCCGCGCCACCCGCATCGGCCGCGCCTGCGGCGCCACCTGCGGCCGCGGCCGCCGCTGCCTTTGCCGCCGCCGCCGACACGCCACCTGGAGCGGGCATGTTCTCCGTGAACCGCGGGTGTCCATCTTGCCCGCTGTGAGCAAAGAACCACTTCTGCAGCTGCAGCAGCCGCCGGCTCAGCTGCGTGTACACCCTACGTAGCTCCGGCTGCGGCCCCGCCTGTGGTGCGGCAGCAGCGACGTCGCCATCAGCCGCACATCCGTTTTCAGTCACCTGTGCCTCCCCCGCCGCCGCGTCCTCCGCCTCCCATTCCGCGTCCACTTCGCCAGTCTCCGCCACTGCCACAAACCGTTCCCGCCAATCCCGCCAGCCCCGCGGCGGCCCCGGCACGTCCTCTGTCTCCGCCGCCGCCGTCATGGACGCTATGCTCTCAACTAGCTGCCGCATGCTGGCACCGCGGTACGGACCTGACAGCAGCCCACCGCCGCCCATGTCGTCGCCGTCCAGGCCATAGCCCTCCATGGCGTCCGCCGCCTCGTCTCGCGCACTGGCGGCAGCCACCTCCGCTTCGCCGCTCTCCACCAAGCCACGCACTTTGGCCATGGCAGCCAGGACGGCGGGCTGTATTCGCTCCAGCGCCTTGCGCAGCTCGGCCTCCCGAATACCCTGGATGCACGAAAGAGAGGGATCGGATGATTTACGCCTTTCACGGAGGGACCAAGAATGGAGAAGACAAGCAGATTCTTAGCGGTTTAAATCTCTCGTTGCAATGGTTTGCGCAAATATCCACGTCCACGCCTCCACTCCGCTTCCCACACTTCTCCCACACCAGCCTAAATTCCAGGCACACAGCAGGAGTGTTGCCTAAGTCACCAATCCATCACGACCCGGATTCCTGCAGTTCCGCCCCCTCCTCAAGTTATCTTAGACCCTTCCCCTTGGAGGCTTTCCCACAGCACCTCGCCTCCGGGCTCACCCTCGGGTCCAAGCTGTAGATCAGCGATTCCAGCTGCTCCGGGCTGGAAATCGCGCTCCACACGCCCTCGCTGTGCTCCACCAGCAGCAACGACTTGAGGCCCGCCAGCCCCCACCAGTAGCGCCTGTGGTACCGGTCGGTGCCCAGCGGTGCGCGCCGGATGTGGCACCGGTCCAACTCCCGCTCCAGAGCTTCCTGACGGCTGATAGCCAGGAACGGGGACGGAGGGAGGAGGGGGTTTCCCGGGACCCGAATTAAAGCAGCCACCGATTCAGACTTGGGAAAGAGAGGAGAAAGACCAAAGATCGAAGGGAAGAAGGGGCCCGGATTTCCATTCCCACAACTCAGTCCCCATCCGTGAGTGATGCCCTATCCTGATACCCACGCTCCTGCCACCCATATTTAGCGAAATTCCCCGACTCACGCGATGAGCACCTCCTCCGCTTCCCGCTTCTCCCTGGCCACCCGCTGCTCCACGGGCTCTAAGTGCCTCCGCCGCACGTCCCGCTCCTTGTTGCGCCGCTTCTGATCCGCATGCCATTGTGCCCGGGACCTCTCAATGCGCTGCTTCGCGGCCTGATAGGGTTGTACCGGGTTTGGAATCGGGTTGTCTAGCATTGGTGCCGATGCTGGCGCCGAAGTGAATAACCAATGACGAGAGTGCGTTCCGTCAAAAACCTCAAGCATCCAAATCCGTTTGGTACGTTTTTCCCTACGTTTCCTGACTCTTACCTGTAACCTGGCCCTGAAGCTGGCCACCGCCCTCCGGTCTGTGGGGTCCCCTGTGAACTCCCGCAAATCCTCAGGAAGCTCCCAGCTGGGCTCTGGGGGATCCTCCTCATCCTCCTCACCACCGCCGTCCTCACCGCCTGCGCCAGCAGCAGCAGCCGCAGCGACGTGAGCTGCCGCCGCTGCCGCAGCGGCGCCCGATAGCTTGATACGCTTGCCGCCGCTGCCTCCAGCACCCGCAGCCGGGGTGGCTGCCGCCGCCGCCGTTGCTTGCGCACTTGCGGCAGCGGCGCCACCAGCCGCACCAGCACGAGCTGCAGCTGCCTCGTCCGGCTGCAACGAGGAAATGGAGGGAGGCAGCAGAGCCAATCGCTAGTGGTCGGAGCATCCAGCAACGTGAAATTGCCCACCGACAATGGCGGAATGGCGGATTACTTCGCGGCGAGCTACCTACAGCCCTCTCGTCTGCTTGGTCCCAGCCTTCCTTTCCCTCCTCCCCCTTAGCTGCTGGTACGGAGGCATGCGGCGCGGCGGCCGCAGCGCAACAGCAATTATACGGGGTCATCAAAGGCAATACGGTGACCTCGCCGCTGTCTTCTGGACGCCTTCCTCAAGCCACGGTTCCCTAGGTCACTTTCGTTCGCGCTCACCCCGTCACGCTTGCGCTTCTTGGCCTCCTTCTCCGCTCCCGCTAGCTCCCGAAGCTTCTTACGGTCTTCCGCAATATCCGCTCGCAGACCCGCTGCCACGCTGGTGCTGTAGTCCTGGGAATGCGGGAGCGAGCATGAATTCAGCGGTACGATGCGGAAAGGGCCAGAGGCTTCGGGAGTAAAAGCAACGGTTTTGCTGAACGGGTAAGCTGACGGATGGATTGCGTGCGACACCACGGCGTGGTGAGATAAAACGGACACAAAACGCAGCGAGAAACAGACTTGCTGGGTGGCGGTGGGTTCCGAGGAACAGAAATGAATCGCTAGGACAGCCCCCCCATTTCTTCCCCCATCTCAACAAAACAATGATAACTAAATTCCCGTATTCATCTCTAACCTCCCATTTCATCTCCCAGAGCCCGTCCCACTCCTCACCAGCCTCCGCTGCATCCAGTTCCTCATTCGCTCCATCTCCATGAGGTCCTCACTCAGCATCAGCAACAGGGCAACGTGCTCTCCGCCAGCAAGGGCCTCCGGGTCGTCACCGCCCAGAGAGCTCAGCGCCGAGATGGCGGCAGGGCTGAGCGGCTCCCTGTTCGCGGAGCCTTCAGGAAAGGGGACGAGGAGGAAAGGGCAAGAGGATGGAAAGGGAAAGATAGGATCGCTATGTGAATGGAGCTACGCACGGAGCGCGGAACCGCTAGGTCTGTATACATGCTGATCTTCGCTAGGCGAAGTGAGGCCAATGCATTCCTTTCCTCCCATTTCTGACACCGCTGGATGCCTTGGTTGCTTAATTGTTTAGAAGCCCTGCGGTTGACGCACTTCGCGTTTCCACACAACAGCCTAGCGCCCTTCCTCCTAGCCCCATCATCCCCAGTGCCCTGTGCTGTCCATCCATTCGCTCACCTGCCCGCACGATGGCATACCTCCGCAGCACCTCCGCCCACGTGCCCTCGTCGAGCACCTCCAGCCAGCGCCGCTCCCACCGCGTCATGGCACTACCCTCCCACACGTCAACCAGCAAGTTCTTCAGCAGCTGCACGTACAAGTCTGCCAGCAGCGTGGGGTCGCCTACACGGTCCACCACAATCGCTTCCTCGCCATTAGCACCTGTGCTGCCGTTGGCCTCCGCCACTGCCGCGGCCGCGGCTGCAGCTGCGGCTGCTGCTGCCGCAGCTGCGGCGGCAGCGGCCGCGGCGCCGCCAGCCTTCTTGCTTTTCTTGTCCTTGCGTGGCGGCGGCATGGCGCCGGAGGCGATCGCAGACGCCTCTGCCGCGGCGGCGGCGGCAGCTTCAGCGGCGGCGGCGGCGGCCGCAGCAGCCTCCTCCGCGTACTCCTTAGAAGCGATGATCTGCTCCGCTGCCGCAATGACGGACAGGGGGTTGCGGCCGCCCAGCAATAACGTGTCGACGTGGGCGTATCGTACGACACGCAATCCCAGCTCCCCGCCCAGTTGGAACATGAGGTCAGCCAGATAGAGCGAGTCGGCGAGTCGACGACCCTCCTCGTCCTGGAAGGGCTCTGTCAGGTATATGTCGTTGGTGGGGGTCGCCTCTCCTGCAGACACGGCGCAGGACAATACAGTATATTACAGTGCGGCGTCAGATGTTGGACAAGAAGCACACGGGGCGAATAGCAAACCAGGCTAATTGGCTCGGGAAACACTCATAGAGCTTTTATAGCTGCTGCTGCTGCTGCTGCTGAGGGTGATCGCCACGAAATCCGCCGCGCATTGCATCCACACCTTTCATCTCCAGCACCCATACCAGCACCGTCTCCCCATACACTCCCCTCCCTCTCCTTTCGTCCTCCACCACACCCACCCCGTTCCGCTGCCCTCGCGACCGCATCCGCCAGCAGCTCTGAGTCGTCCACTGGGAAGCGCCGAGCTACGACCGCCGTCTCCAGCCGCCGCCTCTCCTTCTCGTCACGGTCCGCCATACGCGCCTGCGCACGTTCCGCCCGGCCGCCGTCCATCCCTGGCCGCCGGATGCGCTCCCTGCAAGAAATCCGAAGTCCAGCGGGCAAGGAGGAGTCCCTCTAATTGTGGGGATGTTTGCAGGGCAAAGAGGCCAAGAGAGAACCAATGGCCGCAGGCCAGACCCGCTGCAGGAGGGAGCTTAATTACACTGGATATCGACTGGCAGCGAGAAGGGAAAAGGCTGAGGCCAACTACACACTTGCACCTCACGCAACTGACTCCTACACAAAAGCACATCAGGACGCCACAGTCCTGCAACCCGCTTCACTGCTCTCCTCCTACGTCTTCGGCGGGTCTGCGCACACATACTCCCACACCTGAGCAGCGCCTTCTCCGCCTCCTCCGCCGCCCGCACCGCTGCCTCCAGCGCCCTCTGTGCGCGGTCTGCCTCCCCAAGCACACCCGCCAATTGGCGCTGCTCCGCATCCACAGCCGCCGCCGCCGCCGCCACCATCTCGGGCTGTAAGGCCGCAATCTGCGGGTGCGCCGCCAGCAGCCGCTGTTGAGCAGCTTCCGCCTCGGCTACGCGGCTACGGGCAGCAGCCGCAAGCGCCTGCGTCATCTCCACACCGCTGCGGCACGCGGCGATGTTGTTCTGGAACGTTTGGAGAAGTTGGGGTGAATCGGCGGCTTACGTTGGGTTTGGGCTTAGGGTCCTAAAGTGTAAGTGGGTTGCAAAAGTTGCGTGGAGCACGGGGTTGAGGTGGATGCCGGCTGCGAGATGGGAATTGATGAAAAAGAGTGGTTACATTGGAAATATGATTACGGCCCTAAAGAGTCCATAAAATATACTTGCGGTAGAGTCCGTTCACCTAACGAGCAGCAACCCATCCGCAGCACCGGGGCTCTGGGCACACACACACATACACACGCACGCACACACCTGGGTGTGCTGCAGGTGCAACTCCAGGCGCTGCACCACCAGCAAGTCCTCGTGGCTAGGACCGGCCGCAACGCCAATAGGCGCGGAGACGGGCACCATCGCCAGGGGCTCGGATTCGCCCCCGTCCAGCAAGCCCAGTCTGCGGGTATACGTGTGTGGGGGGTGGGTGGGGTGCGTTTCCGGTGCGGAGGTTTACGTCTGCGCGTATTCATGCGAGAGCAATGCGATGAGCGTTGAAATCGCTTGTATGCCAAACGTGTTCCCCCAATTTCCTAACCTTGGGCAGTGGTCCCCTATGACTTAAAAAAGAGGCTCGCTTAAAAAAGAGGCTTCGCAAATGTTAGTTCGACCGAAAGACCTCACAAGCAGGTTCCAAAACTTAGCAGGAATCAGCTCATCTTTGCCCAACAAATCACCGGCTCTACAACGGCTGCGTACAGCCTTTTGCCCGTCCTTTATCGCTCCACGCTGCTCTCACCCTGCCTCCAGCTCCTTCTTAGTGGGCTTCTTGACGCGGCCCTCGGTCTTGTCCTTCACCTGCGCAACGCAATGGGTCCGCGCACGAAAATACGTAAGAGCGGGCTCCCTTGGCGAGGCGCCAAGCTCATCCTTCCCACTTTGTTCCTTGGGGAAGTCCTCAATGGGGGACCAGGGGCCTCCGCACGCAGCACATGACCCATATGACGCCAACCCTCTTGCAATGGGCCGGAGCACCACTTCATCCTTTTTCGCCTTCCCATGCCACCGCTATGAAACCGACGCGACCACAGCATGTTTCACAGGCAAGAGCTCTCTACGAGTGGTGGCAGCAGACGCGGCAACCCGAGCAGCAAACGGAGAACGGGGGTTGCGTTGGGTTTCCACATTCCGCACGTCCCCCAACATGTCTCCTAGAGTCCAGTCTCGCCCCCACCTCCTCAATCCACTCATCCCGGTCCGGATAGAGCGAGGCGAGCACGTAAGTGTTGCGACTGACCCGCAGGAAGGCCGAGTCGGTGTGCATCACCTGGGAGGCAGGGGCAGGGACGGAGGCGAGGGAGGACTAAGGCTCTCCCTCACACAACCCGCGAGCAGCTAACCAAGCAGAACCTCTCTCTCGGCCCTGCCCACAAAGAGTGAAGACCATAGCTAAAAGTGCAGTCGGACTAAGATCAGAAAACCGCGGGGCTGCCCGGTCCTCCCAAGGCCCAGCCGGAGAGGAGCGGCCCTTTCGGACCCCAATTCGTACAACAAGACCGTCCTCCCCTCTCGACGCATTCGGTTGATGTCCCACATCCCATGCCTCACGTGAGGTGCGATACTTCCCAACCACCAGCGTATCTTTTCGACTTTCGCTTTCCCTTAAGTTCCATTTTCCTAAGCTCCGCTTTTTTGTGTGCAGGTTCCTTTACCCAACCTACGTGGTACAGGTTCCGCTTTCCCCCTGGCGGCCAGTCCGTCTTAATGCCCTGGTCCATAGACAGCTTAATGACCTGCTCCACCGTAAGGCCCTCATAGGGGCAGCAGTTCTTCAGCACCTGCAGCGCCGCGTGCTTGGTGGTGCCGGGTTTAGCCCGCTCCTCCTCCTTCCAGGCCGCCAGGGGTAGGGACAGGAGCAGCGGGGCAGGCGAGAATGGCACCCTCAGTCGTTGTGCCTTAGTCGGGCTGGGTTGGACTGTGGGTTTTGTTATTGTTTTGCGGATTCCACAGCCATCTGCAAACGCCCCTCCAGTCCTGCCTTTCAGGTTAATATTTAAACCACCACCGTGTCCGCTTGGAAGCAACCCTTGCACCATCGGGGCTTCGCCCCTGAATACGGCAAGTTACTGACCCTCGTTCCCCTGTGCCTGCTCCATGTCCCCCCCATACTGCAGCTAATCGCCAACTCAACAGAGCAGTTTTTTTAACACCTCCCCAGCCAGTCATATCTCCCAGCCTGCTCTTTATGCTTAGTGTACTATTTTATTGCCCACTAAGCATAGGGCGAAAGGAAGCGTGTTTAAAATGTATCCTGGGTCATACGCGCACAAGCACGCAGGGCACAACTCCTTAAACAGTCCAGCCTGGCGCTGCGCACCTCGTATGACTTGGCGGGTGCCTTTTTCTTCTTGGCGCGCACAGGGGCTCCACCTTTGCCGCTAGGGGGACTGTCGTCCAGCATGGCTGCGGCCATGGCGTCCATGCCACGTATGGCCGCCTGCCGCCTGCCTTCCACGGGAGACCCTGCGCGGCCTGGCGCGCGCCCATCAAACGGCAGATGTCAGAGCAAGCAATTACGCTTAACAAGCAGGCGTAGAAGTGTGGACGCTGCGCATGCGTGCTCCCTTGGCCGAACAGCCAGGCGGGAAGGCGGGTCTCCATGCCAGCCAGACAGCTAGTTAAGCAGACAGCTGGCAAAGGGCGAATTAAGCAACATTGCGCGAGGGGGAATTTTGAGGAAGAGGTATCCGGCCTGGACGGCATCCGGACTGATCGCGTATTGTGCTGATTGTGCTGGATTGACCAGGGTGAGCCATCCCTGCTGATTCAATACACGTAGCGATAACCGCACCGTGGGTTTAACCCAAGATTGACGGACTCCAGCTCCCCAAGCTGCGGAATTTGTGAGGCTCGCCGAAAAAGAAATTGCCAAAGGCCGCGATGCAGAAGATGCAGTGCCACGTCATGTGGGCAGAGGGGCAGGGTCCTGTTGCGAGGACAACCGGGGACGCCTGCGACGCACCTCGGCCTCGCCGTCCTGCCACCACCTGACCCTCCGGGTCGTCCTCCTCAGGGGCCGCTTCCTCTGGCATATCAGATCCAAGCCCATATTTTGCGCATAACGCTGGTTTCACTGACCAGTATCGACCAGTCCATGTTGCAGCCTGTGACAAAGAATCCATTGACACGGAAAGGTGATCGGCACTTTCGGGACCAGGCACGTGGACCCCTATATGTCATAAGCGTTCAATTCTTATCCTCAGGTTATGGGAACAGTGCGTACCTCGTGGAGCCATAGCTTAATAACCGGCTTTGGGAGGGGCGCCTGCTTGCCGGGCTTTCCCGTCATGGTTTCGGCACCGCCAGGTGCAAATATTTTATAACTTTTTGACACATCTGCCAAATGTGTCACCAGCTCCTCCAAGCGAAGCGTGTTATGGTGAACAACGCCACAGAATGGCCCCTCGAGTTCGGCGGGAACTGCGCAACGGTCAGCAAATAGCTGAGACCTGTACCAATTCTTTATCGTTATAGAGAAGGGACAACGTACACTGCTGAAGCAACTGGTTGGCCTCCTGCTCTGACAGCAATGCCTGCTCAAAAGTGAGCCCGCCCCGTCCTGTGACAGAACAGGTCCATTTGGCCGCCCTGTAGTGCGCAAGCTGCTCCAAATACGCATCGTAATCAGTGAACACTTCCCCGGTCAACCGGACTACAAAAACGTTCTCATCGTCCGGTATCCCACCGGGAACGCTCGGGGCGGGCGGAACATAAGGTTTCCGCCCTAACAGCGGCATGTTGGCACTTTGTATTAACCCCGGCCATAAAAATGTGTAGCTGCACATAGCATACTTTGGGCTCTACTAGGTCCAACCAACTGTACTGTACGGTGCCGTACAGCAAATACCAATTGGCGAAAGCCGACCAATAATCCACATGCGCGTAACCTCCGTGTCTTCTTGTCTGCAGGTCTTAAACAAAGCTTTATAAGGAAGGCAACGCATGGTGTGCGAACTTCACGCGTATAGGTTACAACCGAAACCATTGTAACATAACTGAATCCACGTTGACTCATCAGGATAAGCATCGCAGAAGTCCTTCCATTCCTGCGACCCACAGCTAAGCCGCTGTCCACTGTAAACAGCACTGCCATCCATCCAAGCGAGCTGCATCTCCCTTAGGCCCCCTTAAGACTGTCGACAAGTCGCGTAGTTTCACACCCGACGAAGGCATGGCGTCTTCGCAGCACAATTAATATCCCTTGCAACAGGCAACAACGCTGTCGCCTTTGCAGCAAACTGCGTGGAACAGTGTACACGGACCCATTCCTCCTGCACCTGGCAACCGTGCCTGTCCCATCCGTAGTTTGCCCTCAATCGACATCCCCCACTGTAGTTGGGAATGTCATGCGCCCACCTCAGACAGGTGTCCCCAGACCTAGCCCTACCTAATTTTGGCCTAGAACCGAGCCCCAGACTACTCGCAGGCCAGTAGCACAACCCATATGCATAAAAGCGAAAAAGCGCATCGGCTCGTGGAACGCGCTGGTTCACAGACAACGAGTAGACAATCGTCACTGCAGAAGAGCATTTCCGTGGCACACAGGTCCTGCCTTTTCTGCCGTGTCCAACCAGACTCCGTCCTGTCAAATCTAACTACCTAAATGCAGCTACGGCAGGCCGCTGCTAGCTCTGCATGGCCAAATCCTGCTGTTACCGGCCGGAATGCCAACGGCTCTGGCAACTGAAAACGCAGTATTGCTGGAGAGCAAATTGGAGGTGTGACACTCTACTTCTCGCGGGGCTGGGCCCACTCGACGCGCAGAATGAGGTTGTCATACCCATAGCCGTTAAGATAACGGATGGCGCGCTCCGCGTCCTCTCTGTGTACGGACAAGGGGAATCAATAAATCTAATTGAAGTACAAAGCATTTCAAACGTAAATTGTGAGCGTAAAACCACCACTCCAGAGCACATCACTTTACAAACATCCCCCGAAAGAATTCCATGACAGTGTACTCGCAGCATGCCACCATGATGTGCCTCGTGTCGCTAACCTACTGCTCCCATTCCTGACGCTGGCCCGCTACACATTCCTCACCTATGCACGTAGTTGACGAATGCAAAGCCCCTGTTCTCTCCGGTGAGTTTGTCGACAGCAAGGAAGATGCGAGATACAGCCCCGAAAGGCCGGAACAGCTCCTGCGACGGCGAGGAAATTAGGAAAGAAAGTCAGGGCGTAACACTACATGAGCGTAGCGCCACGCTTCCAACGATAAAGCAACGATGGTGAAGCTGCTCCATGAGTTTTGGCCGCTGTTACTTGGGCGATGGAACAGCCGGGGTTATGCTAATAGCCTGGAACGACAGCGTCGTGCTGGCCGCAGCGTTCGTCCCACTGACAAGGCCGGCTCGCTTGGCTACATCACAGTATTTCCGCCTGGCTACTCTGGTGCCTTGCCGTGGAACACGGCAATCAAATAGACAGTACGTGGAGTTTCGCTGAAAAGAACACGGTCCTTTACACAGCTCAAAGTTGCATTAAGAGTGAGCCCATGGAACCTTGAACGCGCACCGTGAAAACTGCGCACAGTTTCGGTCGCTCCTTGAAGGCAATTCTCATTTTACCGGTATGTAATCCAACCAGAATCGTGCTGTGAAAAGTACTTGCATATCACGGCATTAAAGATAATACCCAACCAAGCAAAGCTTCCACAAGACAAAAGACAGCTGGCGCACACGCCAGCAACCTTGACGGTGCACCATGGGCATACAGAACCAGGCAAAATTACCCCCCCTTCCCATTTCGAGCGAGGACCAGGGTACAAACCACCCTTCCGCACCCATCCCCGACCACACCTGCAAGTCGCCTTCTGTCACATCCTCTGACAGGTTCGTGACCCTGATAGAGTTGTCCTCGCGCTTCCTTTGCATGCTCTCGCCGTCCCCGGGGCCTCGGTTGCGGACGTTTGGCGGTACGTAGCTCCCAGGCTTCGGTCCGCCCAGGCCCGGACCGCTGGGCTTGCCGTCCTGTGGCAACCCGGAATGCCAACAACAAACATCATCAGGCATTGCTCGAGAGCACTCACGCCGGAGGCAACCAACGCGTGGGGCACACTCCTACTGTCCCCGAGGAGCATGATAACCATGACAAGGAAATCTCATGTATGTTAGGGTACAGCTGTCCAGCAGCGTGGCATGCCAAGCCGCGAATTCGTTGTGCCACACGTCAAGTCACGCCATGTACGTAACTGCACTGCCCCCACACAGCACATGTGCAAGACGCACAACATGATTTTGATGTGCAAATCTTTTCCTCCCAGGGTGGAAACCCAGTGGAACAAATTGGGCGGCCAGTCCCGTCGTACCTCCTCCGGTGGTTTCTCCGCCTCCTTCATCATTCCCTTCACACGTAGCAGCTCACGCTCCATGCGCTTCTTGTACAGAATCTCCTTGAGACTGCATCACATTCAGCAGAGCACCGTTTAAAGATGCAACCGTCCCAAGATAGGTGTTGCGGTCCGAGGCCGTTTGGCGCGCCCACCTGCCGGAGATGACTGTCTTGTCAGCTGACGCCAGAACTTGCTGAATATCCGTCGCTTTCTTCTCCTGCGTGGTTGCTTTGATCTGCCGCACGCGCTCGAAGGTGATCTCCTCCACCGCTTGGACTGTGACCGAATCCTGTGGCGTCTCCCGTGCTGCCAACCCAAACCGGGGCCACTTTCGCCGTTCCTCGGTTACCTATGACCAACGACACCGAACAGAACAAGAGAACAGGCAGAGGATCGAAAGGCTTGGAGCGCCGCCGCGGTTTAACAGGCTACAGGAGGCAATCTTGCAATCCATAATGAAGTTAACACACTATACGGACCTTGTACACTTTCTTCTCCACCGTCACCACCTTAAACTTGGTCGTCTTCTTGAAAGCATCGCCCTTGTCATTTTTGTAATACTCAATCACAGTCTTAATTCCGTTGTCGTCTGGACCTTTTGTAATTGTCGGAGGCAGCAAGTCCTCGTCATCTAGCGTATCTCCCCAGCGAACCTTTCGGCTCATTCTCCACAAATATGCTTTTAATGGGCCTCGTTGGCGATAGGGAAGCTGGCAGCAAATATACGTCTATATTAGTGTGGAAGACAATCAAGCATCAACGAAATGCATGGACATGCGGACGTTTTTACTGCACGGCAGGACGTACAAGCCGCCAAGATGGATTCAAGCACAGGTCAACAGCTGGCAGGGCCTGACAACATAATTGCTCGTGAATATACAAGTATATGTAACACTTGATTAACCCCAACAGCTGAAACTGCTTAGTCAACTGCTGTGCTGGGGACACCGGACCGTAGCTCGCACACCCGGTCAAGCGGGGTACCTACGACGCAATAGGGAATGTGCGTCGTATCCATCGAATTACCATTTCCCTTAGACCCCGGTTGCTGTGGATTGGTGTGAGCAGCCTTTCCGAATACCCACACACGTAGGCTTCCCCGCTAGAAGCCTCACAGATTTGTTGAGCCCCCCCTGTGAGCTCGCCATGCTTGCGGCGCCAGGGCCTTGTTGCACACCTCGTATCGTGCCAATGTTCTGCATGGGCAACAGTAAGCAGGGCCATCATGCAGAATTCGAAGGCTTGCACCTGGACATCCGAGGGGGCCGGAGAGTTTTCGGCATGGCCAGTAGGTGAGGCGTGGCTCTCTGGTCCCTCCACGACGACCTGAGGGTTCGAGCCCCATCGTGAGCGAGGTGCCATTTGGGCCCCAAGGTATTGGGCCCCTCCAGCAGCACCTGAATCGTAACCGGTGCTCCAGCAAGGGAGGCGGGCTTCAGGGGTTTGACATACGAGTAACAACTAAAGGAACAGGGTAGGTAACGAGGGGGTTCCGAACGCTATGGCCGTTCGTTGATCATCAGCGGGTGGCATCGCTAGAGGCGCTGCTGCGGTCCTGCCAGGCCGTGTGGCGCAGGTAGGGGCCCGCCCGCAGGCCCATCTCCACCCAAGTGCATCAGAGATCACCCCTGCTTTGGTGCTGAGGGTTTCAGAGCAGCTGGGAGCATGAGGAAAGCACCGGACAACCTGTATGTACAAAATGCGAGAGTAGTTCCATTCCATGACTTTTTTAATTTACTAGCTTTGGTCCCTCTTTGTATGCCCTCCCTGTGGCCTTTTTCTTCTCTCGCCGCCTTCCCTCCGTATGTGTCCCATGCATGACTATGCGTTAAATGGGAGGCCAGGTACCTTGATTGGTTTGTCCGCAATGCACAAAGCTATCAGCTTCTATCTGGCGTATGGTGAATGGCCCCCATAGTCCGCTGCCAACGGGTCACATGGGACGTGGTTACAGAGGTGGATGGTTTTTGTCACCTTCCTTGATGCCCACTCTAGTAAGGGGCTACGGCCGTCATGCTACGGCGCGAGCCATGGTACCAGTGAACCGCTGGTGCCACAAGGAGAGAATAGACTCGGGTTTTACTTGGTGCCACAGGTCCTGGGACTGGCTTCACAAGCTGACGCACTGCTCGTTTGCCGACCCTGGGGTTGGCCCCACACACAAGGCAGCAGCGCCCAGCTTTCTTGTACCGGGCTATCCACCCGGGTGAGGTTTCACTTGGACTGCACATTCGAGTCCAAATGGAATAGCCCCGAGGTCGGGCGTTTAAAAAGTCTTGTCAGCTAGTGTCGGTTTCGTTCCAAACTACCCTTGGTTCGAGTGACGGTGCGACCCTTATGGTGCTTGTGGAATTTTCCTTATACAGTGCCTCATTCCACGATAGAGCCGTGCACCCTACCCTCACCACGACTTCCTGCTTTAGTCTATGTAGTTGTAAAGCCTACTAGTCGATGCGGCGCCATGGGTGCTTGTGACGAGCCGCTGCCTCTATCGTTCTCACGTGGCCATGAGCTATTCCCTCCCAGTCCATGTTTCCCTCGCTAGCACACAACGCTTGCGACCTCCTAACACGCTTACAACATCTCCACTTGTGAGCCGAAACGAGGCACCAATCCACACATCCTTCCTAGCGGCTCGGTTGTAGAAGACACAACGAAGTCAGTAAAGTCAACGAAGTTTAATCGTTTGCCTGCTTCAGCAACATCACCTGCCCCCTGCCTGCCGGAGCGCTTGCCAGCACAAGGATCCAACAGCAGAAGCAGTTCACAGATGCTGTACCACCTGTTGAATTCGAGTGTGCAACCCACGGAAGCACGTGTACTGGCGACAGCGTGCCTAGCAGTGTGGATGCCGGATACTCGCCAATCTAGTCGCACTGGAGCACTGTAACATGTTTCATCCATTCAGGTTACACGTCCCATGATAATGACTGGTCTCGGGACACTGCAAAGGCTCTTCTTAATACTCGACGCAGCCCCCGCCCCGTTTTCGCTTCACCACTACCAGTTTCACCAGGTTGCCTGCATGGCATCTCGCGGCAGTTTGCTTGCTTGTAAAGCCCACAGGGTCTTGCTACTAAAAATCGACCGTGTTAGTCCAGCGGTGAGCGTGGGCAGTGCATTACATTACATGCGCCACCCATAATTGGCGATCCCTCAACTCCATTTCCACAGTGGACACAGTTGTGTCGGCCGTTAACTTTATATGAGCTATGGACCTCACGCCAGAGGTTTGCAAAAGCCAGTTTTTGACAGGTACCTAGCTGGTTGGCTGACTGGCTATAGTCCTGAGCCTCCAATATATTCCACAAGACCAGAAACTGCTTACCCCCTTGGCCGTCGACCCGAGCCCCGCCAATAACACACTTCAGGTTGCAGACCGCCGGGTCCACTACACGCTGTGGTGGCGCCTCACCGGCACGCAGCATGCGGGCCCGGTGTGGTGCCTGCTGCTAATGCCTTATATACGTGCGCCATACCGGTGGCAGGCAGCAGGGGGTGCATCACCGTCGCCTCTGTGCGCACAATATGCACTCAAAGTTCGTTGTCCCATGGCAAATCTACTCCGGGCACTTATCCTTGAGTCGCCTAGGACCCTATTACCCGGCTGATATTGTTGCTCCCCTCCCCGCGAGCAGGTAGAGCCAGATTGAAGGTGGGCACGGGTAGGATAATTAAAGTACAGCGTGGCCGTGAGCAAGAGAGGATTGGTGCTTTTAGAGACCTCCTCCTAGGCATGGCCTCCTGCAGGGCTCGAAGCCTTTAGTTGCAAATTTCGCAACGTGTGGTTTGGAAGATAGTGATGGTGATAATACTGATACTGACACCGGTGGCAATGCTGGTCGTGCGCACCATGCACGTGTTGTCCGAAGATGGCATCCTGTTGAAGGAGCATTCCGGTGTACCGCCAGCCTCAAGTGTATCAAGCACCAAAGCCTTCCACAGCATCAAAGGCGAAACCCTAGCCTCCCAAACCAGGGCGTTCAGCACTGCCGCTTGAGGTTCCCAAAGATCAACCTCGCAAAGGGTAATGTCGCAGCCACATCGAGGCCTCCTTCCATAGCATGAGTATAGGCCATCTCCCAACAGGGCGCCCAATTGCGTCGCTATGCCAACTGTGCTGCACCCCGGCGCCAGGAATGCTAGCAAGGTTCCGAGCATTAAGGCACCGCAGGATCATCAAATTTGCCAAGAACCGATAGCCAAGTAGCAGCGGCAGCACCGAATAAGCAAGGAATGGGACCGGAAGCCGAATGCCTGCGCCGCACGAAAATTCCGTCCTGCCTGCCATCTTTGGTTGTTGACGGGGATGGATGATGCGCACAGCGCGAAGCAGGTGGAGTGGCGCGCACTGCGAGGAGTGGCTGGGCCAGGGGCGGCGGCATGTGCCAACTGCATCTCCGGTGGTGAGGCCCAATGGCACATCTTGCCTTCGTGGTGTGACGCAACGCCGCCGGACGAGAGCAGGCCAGCTGATACACGCATACTGTGGGATGCTGCATCCCGCCACTGCATGCAGCATTCACATCAAAGGCAGACATATACACACACGTGAGACTGCCTGGGTTAAGAGCATTGCGCCAGCAAGCAGCATTCAGGTAGGCCTAGGCCGGTGCACAGTACATAGCGGTGCAGCACGGCACTGTGCAGTTGTCGGCCTAGCGCAGAGCATCGGCTCGGAGTGAAAATCAACCAGGCCTACCCTTTGTGCCTCCAAGCCAACAGCAACGGCAGCTGCGCCTCAACGACAATAAGAATGCACCGCGGAGACAAAAAAACACCCCAGCCTTCTAAACCTGCTTGAAATGTCCACCTACCGCTTACTCTTGAAAAAGCTGAAAACACTGGCACCCGCAGCTTCCGTCATCCGTTAGTGCTGCTCCCACCAGTCGCCGCGCCGTTGCCCGGCGGCCGGCCCCTTAGGGATCCGGGCACATACATCTGAAACCCTGGGCGAACTTTCTTGCCTGACGGCCCTGTCGCAGCAGCCGCCAGAGCGGCGGCAGCGGCTGCCGAAGCCGTCGCCGCCAAGCCGTCCTCGGGGGAGGAGCCATCAGGCAGCGCAGGGGTGCTGCCGGCGGGGGGCGTGGCCGCTGCAGCTGAGGACGCTGCTGCGCCCGGCTTTGATCCTGTGACTGCACCAGAGGCAGAGGGGCCAGCGGATGCCTTACCACTGCTCCGCTCCCCAGTGGTCGGTGCGCCCGCGGACGGCGGCACTGCCTTGACAGCCTGCGCGTTAGCGCCGCCATTGGCGCTGCTGTGCTCCTGTGCAGAGGCGGCGGGCTGCTTGCCACTGCTCCGAGGGGCTTGTGACTGCCGCAGGGCCTGCTGCGGCTCCTGGGCCTGCTTCTTAGCAGCCGCCGAGTTCGTCGCCACGGTGGCAGCAGCAGCTGATTGCCCCGCTGAACCGCTACCAGGGGCCCCCTGCATACAGTGTGCGCAACATGTTCTGTGCCATTTCCTATAAATGGCAAATTCACACAAATTCACACAATAGCTGCAACATCTCGGATGCCATGCTTGAAGAGCCTTCGTGATCTGCACACCTTTTATCTCAGCCGGTTCCTGGTTCGTGACATCATGTTGTTGTCTTTATTCCATGCGCTTCAACCCACCTGTGTTAGGCGCGCCTCCCCTCCCTTGACTAATAGCAGCCGCGGCGTAGCAGCACTTGCTGGCCGCACCGCGGGCGGCGCCTCCTCTTGCCCCGCCGGGCCAAATCCACGAGCTGCACCCTGTTGCGTCCCAGCTGTTCGCCCACCTCGCGTCTTCCTTGGCTCATGGCTTTGCGCGGCACCAGCAGAACCACCATCGGTCTCCGCGGCGCCTGCCTGATGAGCCGCTCGTGCGTCATTCCTACCGCCGCCGCTGCTGCTGCCGCTGGCAAGTATCTTTTCGGCGGAAGGCTCCTTGCCGTGCCCCTTCGAAGGAGCTCCTTGCGCTGCGCTGGCCCTGGTCAATAGGGTGATAGTCGGTGCAGCGGTCTCCGTTGCAGCCTCAGCGGACCCGTGGCGGGCACCCTTGCCTCCTGCACCTCGGCTGGCGCCTGGCTGCTTCTCTGCTGCCTTGCTGGAAGGCCCCTCAGTCGATAGCGATAGCTGGGCCCCTTTTGTTGACCGGTCCCGCTCTCGCCGTGGCCCCTTTGCGGAAGGAGTGTCAGACGCCTTGGCTGCTGCGATAGCTGCTGCGGCGGCGGCCTTGGCGCTCTTGGCAGCGCCCGCCGCCGAAGTCCCGCGTCCCTCCTGTTGCGCTGATACGTTGACCTGCTGAATAAGGTCCTGCTTGCTTTGCTTCGCCTTTGTGGCCGCGCGCATGCCGCCGAGGCGATTCCCGCCCTCAGCGTATTTCTGGACAAGATACTCCATAAGACGCGACATGACCACCTTGCCCTCACCATCCGCAGCACCGCCACTGGCTGTGGCCGACGGTAAGTCGGATGCCGCTGCGGCCGCGCCTGGGACGGCGGTGCTGGGCGGACCCAGACCAGCCTCGTAAGCTTCCAAGAAGACGAGGTAGTCCGTGTCTAGGTGCGTATGTTGGGGGGATGCAACAGCACAAGGCATGTGATTTTTTAAATGCAATAATTGACAGCCGGTTGGCTTGACCGTGCGAGGAGCTTGTCATTCGGGTGACGCACAGTGTGGCCCGTTGTTGGGCGGAGGTATGCTCTGCTTCTCTGGGGTGAGATCGGCCTCCCAACTCTGGGCAGGACCTCTTCTTCGCGGGGAAGCCGCACGACGAAGTACAAGCAAAAAAGATTACGTGGCCCGACAGTGATGCACGGCAGTAGCAACGAAGGCTGCAGAACATCCTGATTGGTCCCAGCCTGCTTCACCCACTGTTTACCTTTCTCTATCGTGTCGTCTAGCGGATGCGGCTTTTCCTCCTGGGCCGGCACTTTTTGAAGGGGGGCATATTCGACGGAGCACCTATACTGGTGTCCTTTTTGGCCAATGAAAACGTGCCCGTCGAAGCGCTGCTTGAAGTCGTAAACATCCTCAGCGGTCAAGAAGTTGACGTATGCGCGGGAGAAGACCACCCGCTTCAGGCTGCGGACAGACAATGGGACGCCAAACTTCAAACATATAAAACAGGCCGAAGGGCAACTATGACTGACCACTTGAGATCCGCAGCGCAATAAAAAAATGTATAATACCTGACTTTCCCTGGAAAATAAGACAACCAGGTGTAGCGCCCGCCCGCAAGGCTTTCCAGAACCGTCTTAAATGTGTCATCCGTCATACCAGGTGGCAAATTACGGATTACAACTTTTGTTTTGGGGCGTGCTGCGCTCATTTTCGGCCCCGAGCTCGGTGCCGTTGGACGCTAGTAGTGTCCTACATGTGAGTTCAAGAGCTTGCTGCGATGAGACCTGCTTGTATAAACCAACCATAAGGCGCTGCAGTTTGTCGTGTGCAGAAGAGCGCATCGTGTACGTTATGAGTACGACACAGTACGGTAGTGCATGGCCCTCCACGAGGGCACAAGTACCCATCCAACTTGTTCCTCGTTTATTCCCCATGGAGTCTGCGGTCAAACGGCAAGGCTTAGCATCCCCATCTTCGAGGCAAGCAGTTTCCCATGCTCCCGCAGTCCCCTACGGTTCGGCCTTGCTGGGTGCGAGGAACCGGTGCGATATGCAAATCCACATCCCGTGTACCAAGTCAATTGCAACCCCTGCGCTTGGTTTACACATCACCCTCACACAAAACGAACGGGAGGGCATAGGCCGTAGTCACGTGCAACTACCCAGTACCTGCTTAGCCTGTCGCCAGCCACGAATGTGTGAGTATGTATTACATGGTCGTGAGGGTGCGTTCCCTGTACCTGCAAAACGCCCAATACGAGCCGAGAGCTCAAGGGCTGCTAGATCGCCCATAAGCACCGTCCTACCTCGCACGAATGTGGTCTATACCGCACGCTTTCCGTATATTTTGTTGGTGGGGCCGGTCGGTGAGTTGGATCGTGATCGCAGGCGGGCGGTTGAGTGACCTCACGTTATTACTGACCAGGCGTGTGGCCTGCTGATGACCAGGTGTGTTTTGTAGCCACGGCTTTCACGTGGCCTTTTTAGAGGGCGCGTCATCCATGCAGGTCGTGAGCTCCATTGAATGCAAGTCATGGGCTCCATTTAAGAAGAGGTAAGGTCAGTAACATTGACAGATTGGCAGTACAAGAAAGGAAAAGAGAAACGTTTTGAGAGCCGTCTTAAGAAACCATACGCCCAGCGTCGCCCAGCTCAGTCCCCTGCATCACAACTTTCTTCAACGCGCAACCAGGCGTAGCACCTCGCGCCCATCCTAGCCCAACCTCGTCCACCCAGGAGGAATGGGTCCAGGAAAAGTTACTAAACCCTAGCAGACCGTGGGCCCGGGCTTCCACAACCGCCGCTCTACTTCCATCATCAACCTCCCTAATCTACGGTATGCACATATGCATACACGTGTTGCTCGCTACCCTGTCCGATATGAATGATGCTTCCGTTGGAATCCTTGACACACGGAACAGCCGGCCGACCGAGTGCAGCGGTCAAGGCAACCAATCGGCCAAGACGAGGTGGTCATGCTGCACCCAACGCTGGTACGCAGTTCCAGCTGGGGCTGAACCCGAGGCTATATCGGCGCTTGGTAAGCATCAAAGCTGATATACCTCGGTGCAGATATCCCTACACCACCCCACCAGCCCGTGTCTTGTGGGTTCTCGAACAGGGAGCTGCACTAAGCAACTCGGAGCGCCACAGACACCTCTGCTCTCCTCCTTAACACGGAGCGGTACGAGGCCGGAAATAATGCACATGACAGGCAAAGGGCCACAACACAACAGGATATTTTACGACTTCTGTGTCTTGTGAAAATACAACGCACGGAGGATTTGGGTCTGGCACTAACAGCAACAATGAGATGCAAGCTAGCCAGCCACACGCCCGTTCCATTGATCCAGAGGATACGCTACCTGACAACGCGTGGCCGCAAGGGCACTGCGCAAGCTAGTCATACATAGCGCCTGATAGACCCGTTGCCTCCCGAGCTGTCTACATTACCAGCACGAGATCCCATGTCGCCCTTAACGACCACATGGCCACGATTGCAGCAAAACAAAGAACGTACACCACACCCCTACACGTACAAGGTCCTTGCACTGTGCCGCCGCCACAATGTCGCAACAGTCAACATGCAAAGCCGCAAAGCGCCCCACCTCCAAATCATACAGCGCGAAACCGTTCAAGCTTTTGGGGCTTGTAGGACGGGGAATAAATGATACATTTCTACCAATATACATGACACGTGTACCTCTCACCCTGGACACAATCCGAGAAAGGCCTTTCCGTCTGGTTCAAAGTATCGTAAAGGAACCGGCAACTGGACGTGTAGCGCAATAACCGTCAGTCCGCCTTAGAGAGGCCGTGCCGTGTTCTGTCGCGTCAATGCCATGGCATTGATCGTCTTGGAAGTTGGGAGGCAGCAGGTCCGTCTGAGTGCCCGCGAGTTGCGTCAGGTAAGGTAGCCCTGGCGATGCCTTCAACCGTTTGGTCCGGGGGGATCTACAGCCAGGACTTCTCACGTAAAAAATAAGTAATATTTGTATCTTCTCCGGCTTCTTGCTTTGCACCATTATATTGCAACGAAAACAATGTGTGATAACGAAAACATCGACCGCGGCTTCCATCAAAATTATACCACCGCTCAACGAAATTTGTGTTGCTGTACAACGCCATGACATTGCTGTTTCTTCTCTCTTGCCTTCTTTGCACCACATCCTCCCTCCCCCTTTTGCAGCACATCCCGACGACATGCTGTGCATGCAAAAAGATTGCCGATGCCTGCCTGCCATCCAAACCTGGCAACCAACCGCCCATGGGTAAGCGGCCATTCCTACATAACTTGGTATCTAGATGATCAAATGGTGATTTTGTTTTGCAATTCTACATCACCACCACCATCAATATCTTTTTATGTTACCGGGGCATTCTCCGTGCTCCCGCGCGCGACGCCAAAGGCCCCGAGCCCCCTGCCACGCACATAGCTAGCCGACCCAAGGTTGTGAGACCCGATACAACTAACAAAAGTAGTACTCTGCAACTGGTCAACCAACAACGTGATAAGCCCTTATTGGGTTACGGGACGGAGTGATGGAGCCTGCCGAACAAGTGCCCAATTGCCGGAAACGCTGCTAACCATGTAATGAAATGGACCATTCCCGGGTGCCCGAACGGCGGCGTGGAGGAAACTCATTGTGCCCGACCCCTAATGGCCTGTGGTCGGCGAAAACCCAATAACATAGCAGAGACAATACCTTTTGCCTAAGGATTGACCACCCGGCATCTACTTCCCCGCAGGATGCGCAAGTCCCACCTCTTGTCTTCTGCACGCCAAAAGCACCTCACAGCGACAAGACAGGCGTCTCCTGCACGCATGCACGCATGCGAGAAAGCAAGCAGGATGCATAGAGAATAGCTTTGGAAAGTCCTACTAGTGAGCAAGCAGCTCCCTCCGGCTCAGGTGCTGCTGCTGCTGTCGACGCTGTTGTTGCGCGTGTTGCTGCACCGCGGGAAGTGCTTGACCAGGAACAGCTCCGTGAGGGTGGCCAGCAGCGCCGCCACAACGGGCGTACCCAGGTCGCGAGTTTCGTGCCAGATAATACCAAAGTACACCACATTGAGGGCGGTGAGCACATACGCCAGGCGGGCAGCCTTGCGCCGGGTCATGAGCCACAAAATAGACACCTGGTGGACAACAGAAGGGAAATTGGTCTCGAGTGTCAACATCGAACGCGGATTCCAAAGCTGCAACGTGGCCAGGATTGCGCTGCTTGTGCCGGTTTCTGTGTTGGACAAATTTGGACGGAACAGCAGCTGTACTGCATGGCAAAGCAAGGCAAGGGCTCAGCCAGAGCCCATTCAGCGGACTGTTCAGGGTTTCCCCCGCGCCATCTCGCCTAGCCTGCCAGTGTCGCGCAACGGCATGGGACAGGGCCCCGCAGTCCCGTTACACTTAACACTTCCAAGGGCGCCACAGCCGGGGCCTCCTATAGACTACCGCTGGGCTTCCCCGCCATTGCCGCAAGGGGGTGTACGGCATGGCCTTACCGTCTTAAAGGCCTGGGACATTTCAGCCCCGAGCTGTCGCAGTGGCCCGTTGCTGACGCTGCTGCTTTCGCCGCCCACCCCCACCGTGCCTGGCGACGTGTCTCTCGCGCTACTAACTAAAAATGACGCCGCAGGGATCTCCGCCAGCCACTGTTGCTGTTGCTGCTGTGTTGCCTGCTGCGGCCCCGGCGGCGCCTGGCGCTGCAGGATGTCGGGTCGCGCTGCCGCCCGCTCGGCGGCAGCATGCAGGAAGTAGCGGTCTGCAGACTCCAGGGCGGTGCGGATGGCCCTAACCTGGCGGTCGTTGACATCCAGTTGCTTGGTGACCACCCAGGCTGCAGGGCAGCACCAATTCCAAATGTTTCCGGCCGGGAAAAAGGTGGGAGCCAGGATCGGTCGGCAGGCAGATATGGTGTGGGCCGCTGGACTGGTTGCGATCATGACTTGGTGGTGCATGGAGCAAACGAGGAGTCCAGGTGGTCATGGGCTTGGATGGGAGGAAAGTGGAAAACAACTTGGGAGTAGGCGGGCGCATGCACTCCAAACAAGAGCCCAGAGATAGATGGCGTTAGCTGCCAGACTGACGACCGATAGGCAAGTGTGCACTCACTGGGCACTTCTTGCTTCCTGATGTTGGTGATCTTGCTTCCCCCTTCCCCGCGCAACTTGGGAAGGGGGAAGCAAGATCCCCAACATCAACTTCTAACAGACAAGGTGCCCCACAATGTGTACTTTCGTTTGTTCTGGTAGTGACTCTCGGCCCCCCGGCTCGGGCCCCCGCTTGCTTGCAGGCGCCCTTGAAAGTTTTTCATACCAGTGCCTGAGTCGGGCGCCCTCACTCCTAAACCAATTCACACGTCAACTATCGCCGCCTTGCCCCACCTGCGAAGTAGGCGCTGCACACGGCTGGCACAAGCACGCCCGCCTTGTGGCTGAGACCGCCCGGCAGGTGCAGGTGCACTCCCAGCGGCTGCATCAGGTCCGCTGCCAGAATCTGACCCACTACTGTGAGAGCGCCGTGGAAGGCGGGAAGCAGCATGAGCATGGACGGCACCACCACCACGGAGGCCAGGATCAGCAGCTGTGACGCGTTCAAGTCTGGGAATGGGGCAGGCGGTGCGTCGTGCATGAAGGGAGAAAAGGTCAAGAGGGGACGATCGGGGTTGCATGCACTGCGGATGGCGGGAACGGGGGTTTGCCGTGAACCCCCAGGGCCGACGGTGTTTGCTAGCAATATAGTTGCCACGACGCCGGCTGAAAGAAAGGCGACAGGAACAACCATTAGAGCCACTAGCACTTGGTGACTCTAAACTACAAATGCACAACTCTTCATATAGCCGTGTGAGGTTCATTTGACAGCCATAATCCAACCCCGCGAACGACCCCACGCCCGGCCTAATGACGTACCTGCCACAATGGGTCTCACAATCTCCTGCTGGCTGTCCTGTAAATCGTCCAGCACCGGGAAGCTGTGCCGTACGGGCGTCAGCCTGCTGACTACAGAGCATAGCACCAGCGGGAGAGCGTAGCCCGCTCCGACTGCGGCAGCACTTAGGGAGTCGTCGCCGAGACCGAAGCCGCCTGGGGAAAGACAGCCACGGTGGCCGGCCAGCAGAATTGCATGGGGAAGGTCCATGTAGCTTGCAGTTTTTATTTTCACTTATTCTTTATGGCTAAACGCAACCGAGCTCACCCAGGGGGTCCTCGCCAGTGAGCCAGCTGGTGACGAAGGCAGCCAAGGTGAGGACTGATCCCAGGTTGGTAAACAGTGTCAGCTTCATTTCTGGTACCAAATTGGCCACCTCATAACGCAGCTGCTCCTCTTCCGACTCCCTGCAAAGGAAATTGTTCAAAAGAGACAGTGGCCATTGACCTTCCGCAGTAGGATTGCCCCCTTCCAACAGCGCCTCATGTGCAACGAGACATGATAAACAAGCTTTTGACTGTGCAAACGTGCGCAAAGCTTTCCGACTACACAAATTGGGGAGGCGCGTCGCCGACCGGCGTGGGGAGTCCAGGCTGGCCATTTCTATGAACTAAGTAATGAACGTACTCACGCCAGATGTTAAACACGGGTGTCGGCGTCACCGGCACGAACAAGGGTTTCCTAGCGCGCACACTGTACCATGAAGCTGCTTCAAGAAGCTCCTTGAGACGTTGGACAGCCGTTTGCATGGGTAGACTTGGATCGTATCGACAAACGACGGACTGAGGCGTCGGTGTATCCATATGAGTCCAGTCTTCGCGTGACATTGAACGTCGTGTCAAAGCCCCACAGCGTTTCGCAGCTGTGAGCCTTAGCGGGTGCCTTCTACCCAGAGGCCGATTCGTGCATGCTGGCGTTCCAACGAGTGTGCTCGACATTGCAATGGTCCTGTTTGGAAGCGGCAGACCAAGTCACCGGGTCGGAACTTATAAGAAACTGCAGTTCCTCTGTCGGCTTAACTAAAGTCACAACAGTTCAGAGATGCACTCTGAAAACACTTACGCAGCTTTTCCCGCACCGTGCAGTGCCGTACCCAAAGGTCGAAATGCGAATTTTAACCATCTGACCACATTTCCTAATGACTCCCAAATCCCGATGACGTGTTTTACAGCAGCGAGAAGGAAGACCCCTTCGTGTGGACCGCAGGCTGGACAGAGAATGTGTCTTAGTTTTACCCAAGTACACTTTGTGTGATCAGCTGCTTTAGACGCTCTCAAGTATTTGCACTATGGGGGGCTCAATAGAAGAGAAATTATCGAAATCCCTTGAAGATTTAATCCGGAAACCTTCGGCATCAGGTCGGGGCCGGGGTCAGGCACAAGGCGGACGAGGCCTTCCTGCATCATCTGGCAGAGGTCTTCCTAACGTATCTGCTGGGAGGGTTATCTCAACTCGACAGCCCATCCCCGCTCCACCTCAATCGAAACATGAGCCTAAGCAAGTCCAAAAAGTTCACCATCAGTCACAAATCTTTCAACAAAATCAGCAGCAAAATCTGCAGACCTGGCAGGTGCAACGAAAGCGGTCTGCCCAGCAAGATCTACCGGCAGACGATATCCCACTGGAAAAGAAGCTAACCCTTTCCCTGGAGGATCTTGCAAAAAGGTAAAAGGTGCCGATCGGGCAACCATGCTTCCGAAAGTATGACAAGTAACTTGCGCGGATTACCTGCTGCGCGTTTTTTGCGCCGACGGAATGAGATGCATCGTTGTGAGCTGCTTAAACTGCACCTCCACACTTTGTGCCTGCTTAAACTGCACCCCGCAGAAAGCCATCGGCGGGGGGGGAGGCAGGCGAACGTCAGCCGCAGCCGGCAAACCCGCAGACCCGACCCCAAAGCGGTGGCAGGGGCAACGTGGCCCGCGGCGGCCGCCTTGGAATCAGCGGAACGGGCCGAGGGACATGGAGCAGCACAGGCCGCGGCGGCATCACTGGGAGAGGTACAGTCACCACCAGCGGCGGCGCGGCTACGCGAAGCACGTATATCTTGGTGAGCAGCTCCTCAACCCGAGGGCGGGGCCGGGGCCGGGGCCGGGCTCCTGGCCGCGGCCGCAGCACGAGCGCCCATGCGCCCATTCACCATTCATACGGGCTGGGCCAGGAGGCATACGAGTATGACGACCAGGGATATGATCAGCAGGATTATGGCGGCGGTGATGATTATGATGGGGAAGCGCCTGCTGATGACGACAATGATGACGGGTACGGCTGGCAGGACGATGGGGGCGATGGCGAGGAGTGCGACGATAGCGAGGTGGCGGTTGATACCGTCGGCGATGGGAAATTGTACGGCGCCCAAGCGCGACTGCAGTTTACACAGAACCAGCCATCCGTGGTGCAGCGTAAGCAAGTGAACTTTCGAAGCCGCCTGGCGATGAAAATTCGCGACGCGCAGCGCAATAAGCAGCCGCTGCCGCTGCCGGACCAGTTCCGCCCAGGCAGAAGCAGTCAAGACCCGGCAGCGGCCAACGCACGGCGACGGGCGGAGGCTGCCACGATAGCGGAGCTACGGCAGACGAAGGCTCGTCTCGTTGCTGTCGCGGAGGAGAAGGAGGCGCAGGTGGCCAGGGCCGAGAACCTGGTGCGGGAGCTAACCCAGGTTTATGCGGAGCTGACTGCCAAACCTGATGCTTCAAGAGCTGCCGCCGCCGCAGCAGCAGCCGGTCCGGCTGGCTTCAGCTCTTTCCCCAGGCAACCTGGAGAGCAGAATCAACCATCGCAGCAAGAAAAGCACCCGGCGCATAAAAAGCAGCATCACCAGCACCCTCAGCATCCGGATATCCCGCACCCCCATCACGGAGCCGGAACCCAGTACACACTTCATGCAGAGCCGGCGCCTTCTGTGCACCAAGACAGTTTCACCCCCGCGCGCCACCGCGCACAACTTCACACTAACACGGTGCCCCTTCAGCCATCAGGCCCCGTCCCACACCATCCGCAGCCGCCCCATCCAGCTGGACAGTCCTACCCTGGCCAGCGCGACCTGCATGCGCAACAGCGCTCTGATGGATTGCACATAGCTCACGAGGGTGGGCCGCAGCCGCACAGCCTAATAGGCAGCGGTGATGGCACTGGCGACCGGGCCTCAGAGCAGACGGCTCCGTATGGCTACAAGCATCAAGGGACGCCGTACCGAAATCATGAGCGCGGCCAGAGTCCCGTTTGTGGCGTGCGGGTTCGTGAGCGGGAACCGAGCAGGGATGGCCGCGGGCGGGAGCAGAGCCGGGACCGGCGGGATGGCTACTATCGCCGCAGCGACAGCCGAAGCCGGGCTCGACGCGCGGATGACCGACCAGGGCGCAGCCGGAGCCGCAGCCGCGAGTGGCGTGACTCTTGGGATAGCCGCCGCCGGAGCCGCAGCCGCAGCAGGGGACGCAGCCGCAGCAGGGGACGCAGCCGCGACCGCAGCCGTGATCGCCGCGGCACTTACAGCCACGGCCAGACAAGCTACAGCCCCGCGCGAGACTGCAGGCCTGAGCCCCGCCCTATTCCGCCAATGCAGGAGGCGTCATACGGTGCTGCTCCTAGGCATTTATGTCCCAGTAACGTTGCTCCTTCGTCGCGTGAGTGGCCGGGCTATGGGTACGCTGCTGCTTCGGGCTATGGAGCACCGCCACCACCTGGCGGGCCGCCTGCGGCTCAGGAGCCTTACGATCAGGCGAGGCCACCGCCGCCGGGCCTACCGCAGTCCCAATCCGACTACTATGCGTCTGGCAGCCGTGCTTCAGCTCCAGCGCCCTGGTCTTCGCAGCCATTGCCACCGCCACCTCCTTTACCGCAGCTTGCAGAGCGGGATCAGCACGATCGGCGTTATGGCGGTCCTCCGGAACCAAGCAGGTCGGGTCAGCAACTCTCAGATGCACGAGAAGGTGACTTCAGACGGCGCGAGCCACCCGCTAGCCCTAGCACGCGAGATAGGGAGCGGGGCCGCGAGCGGCCGCCGGATCGCCCCCGTGACTACGACCGGGACCGCGATAGGGAGCGAGAGAGGGAGCGAGACAGGGAGCGAGAGAGGGAGCGAGACAGGGAGCGAGACAGGGAGCGAGAGAGGGAGCGAGACAGGGAGCGAGAGAGGGAGCGAGACAGGGAGCGAGAGAGGGAGCGAGAGAGGGAACGAGACTTGGCGAGGGAGCGAGAACGTGTGGCCTCCGCGGGCAGCACTCGTGAGAACGTACGGCGGTACGACAGGCTGGAGGCGCCACGCCGAGACGACAGCCGGTCCAATGAGATGCGGCGTGAGGGCAGTCGTACCATGGAGGGTTCACGTCGGGCCCAGGAAGGTAATTCAAGAGCCCCTGCAGAGCATGAAGGAGTCGGTGCAGGCGCAGGGCCGGATCGGGCTCCGACACAAAGTCGGGACCCGCGTCTGAGGCCATGTACTCCGGAGCGCGAGCGAACAAAGAGTGAGAGCGAGCGGCCGCCTACTGTGGCCATGGCCGCAGCCCATTCGGCCGATGTCCAGGCACCCCCGGCGGCAACGGCGGCGGGGCCTGAGGCGGCAGCGGCGCCAGCGCCGATGGCTGTGTTGCCGGCTCCTGAGGCAACCGTGCCAACGCCAACGGCTGCACAAGGGAACCGAATGCTTGGGGAGGGGAGTCGTAACAACGGCGCGCGGAGTGGAAAATGCGCTGTGGACAACAATGCTGGTGGCGGTGGCAGCGGCGCCAGTAACGGCAATGGAGCCGGCGGTGGCGGTGCGCAGCCTTCTGATGGGGGGTTTCCCGGCGGCAGTCCTGGTGGCGCTGTCGAGGACACCGAAGCACAGGATAATGCGGACGTAGCACATGATGGCGAGGTCTACGAGGAGGAAATGGTTGACTACGACTTGCCGGATGAGCTCGAGATAGATTAAGTAAAGCATACGATATGGTCATAGCTGATAATCGAGCCCGGTGCCGGCATGCGTTCGAACGCCTCGCCATAGCCGTACTAGCATAGAGGCCGCGGCGACAGTACAGTTTTCATAAATTTTACGTACGGCAAATTGGTTTTGCGGACCGGCCCCATATGGCTGTATAATTGGCCAAGTTTCCCCAAGAATTAAAAGCAGACAGCTCATGGATTCGGAGGCGAGAGCGGCGATAGGAATTTTGCAAGCAGGGGTATGGAGAGTCCCAAACCAGGTCTAAGGCAGTGAGAGAAGGAATGGCCAGGTAAAGCATCGCAGAGTTTCAATAGGTTTCAGCGCAAGGATTTCGCAGAAATGCAACCCACTCACGTGCAGTGAACGTGCCTGGCGTGAAATGGGTTGCTGTGAACCGCTGCGAAGGATGCAGCTACAGAGGCGTTTGGCTGCGAGGCCGGCTATTGTTCGCAGACGGCCTTTAATAGAAGCAGTACTGCCTGGTGCTTGTTCAGCAGTAAAGGAAGCTACTTACTTTACTTCGGAGAAGCTTTATATATAGCTCCGTGACAGCAACGAGTTCGGCGTTTTGCGTGATGTGAAACGTGAGTCGTCGACAGTGTTCATGCAGGTCCCATGCAAGCTATGCAATGACCTCCACGAGTTGCGGAATGCTACGGCTGACTGTATAACCTGGACTGGCGTCATGGTTAGCGGCGGCGATGGTGGTCGACTGCGAGAGGTTACAGACAGGATGCAACCCTGTATCCTCTACACAATCACAAGCATTCAAGCTCTGTCAGCCGGTCCGGTCACAGCGCGCGTCACGCCAGAGTTCCCAATCGCACGCACATGCATTGCTCCAGTTCCCTGCTATCGCAACTAACAGGCATGTGGGCGGATTAGGCAATCGATAGCGGACCCGGCCGAACCTCACCTAAATTTCCAAGATCCATAAGCGAATCTTCATGTGGCAGCAGATGATTGGAAAAACATATGTTGTTCCCCAGACACACGACACCTCGGCCTGTGCATGTTAAAAACTGTCCGCGCGCTGCAAACATTCTACATTTACTCTTGCAACCACAGCTAGGACATGTAGTAGTCGACGCCATATAGACTGCTAGCTGATTGCCAGCAATAGGTTCCGGAATGGGTTCCGTATCTTTTACGATAAGCCAATTCTCCACCGTTGATGTCCTGTCGTCGACAGCAGGGGGGAGATCAGGAATGCATCTGTTAGGCGCAAGTTTCCTCACGATTCGAAGGACGTCACATCCCAGGCAGCGCAGCCGCAGCGTGAGTTCACCGCAAGAGGCCCAAACTTCAGTGCACTAGTCTCTGCAACAACCTGTAACTGCAACCACCACACACACACTAGTCTCGACTAGTTACCTGCCATGCAAGAGACCATAGATACACCAGCATAATCCTGCGAACATCCACCTGTAGGATCCTGTGCTGCAGGTGTAGCGTGCGCTGCATCCAAGCGCGCATACCGACGTGCGTCTGCTGCATCACAGCGTTTGCAGAACCACCCTACATTTTCCATGCTCATGGCTACAAAACAGGCCGCACAAGAATCAACACGGCAAAATCTGAGAACACCAGTACCATTGACCAGCCGGACAAGCCATACCCCCGATTCTTATTGTAACCGGTAGGTTGTGAAGATGACCTGTAACTCCGGGTTTAATTTCTGTTCCACTTTCCGTCCATTCTATACACTGAACTACGCAAGCGTCTACCCTCCACAAGTCCTCATTCCAACACGGCACATTAGAACTGCGTTTGCATCGCTGTGCGCGCAAGCCGCCGCTGGTTTTCGGTCTCCAACTCCTCGGCGAATGTATTAACAGTCCACTGGCCCTGGACGCTCGAGTTCCGCGACAGATGCCGGTTGCGCACTACGTGGTACTCCATTCCGCGCCCGTGCGAGTTTCGGAGCCACATTATGTGCTCCATGATCTCCCTAGGTGCCTTGTTCTTGACGCAAATGGGCTTCGACCGCCCGTTGCCTGCACACCCATCCACAATACCAAGATCAAGTGAATGGCTTTTGTTTTTGCCATGAGTTCGAAAGGGTTGTTGGTGCACACCGCACCCTAACCGTAGGAACGAAGGCCCGATAGCGGTGTCAATACGATGCAGTGTCAATACGCAACCCTCCAGCAGGGGTTTGACACGGCAAGCTCAGAATCAAAGAATCGTGATGGCAGCGTGGTTTTAAAGTCCGTTGAAATGATTACTCTTAAATGTTGCAAGGGGCAAACGAGCTTAATCGAAATGGTTTGCTTCTTATGTATGCCGTACCCGGCATGCCGTCCGGAAAGTGTATTCTACACACTCACGATAAAGGCCGACGAGCATGGGGTGGCGGTACCGCCGAAGCACCTCTTCTACTTCCAGCTGCGGGTTTTGTTGCTGGAATGCCGGCATTGACTCACTCAAGAAGAGCCTGTGCAAACATGAACCATAGTCCGGGGTCCACCGACGCAAGATGCCGTCTGGAAGCAGACGCTTGGCATTAAACGCACCTCATACCCCTTGAGCTGCCCCCGATATCGCAATACTTAACAACCAATCTCTCCAGCATCCAGACACCGTACTTTGACATGGCGTCTAGCGGCAAAAGATTTTACTAATAATTGCCTTTTTTGTGAAAACGAGTTCTGAAAGGGGCGTCAGGGTAAGGATCTATATCAGAGGCGAGACAAATACCCTCAAGCCAGGAAAAGATTTTACAAAGTTAAATGTTTTGCGATAGTTAACCAACACATGCATACAGGAACTGAAATGATTTCGATGAGGGCAAAAAGCTGAACAAACCGTCATAGGAAAGAATTGCCGTACGTTAGGTCGGAAGAAAGCAGAAGACTGCTCCTGGCCCCAGTCACCAGTGCAGCTACCCCAGGCGATGACCATGGCAAAGATTGAGGCACAATCTGCTTTTCGTTACGCACACTAGAGGCAGAAGCGCACGGAACAGCTTATGTCCAACATGGAAGCGCCGTATCCAGCGCAATTGGTGGGCTGGGTGGTATGGGGTAAGGTTAAGTCACTGCCATGGTGGCCTGGGCAGGTGATGCACCCAAGCAAGGGGCCACCGGAGGTCCGCAAAATGGCCGCGATGAAGTCCAACGCTGCCAAGCTACTCGTCATGTTTTTAGGTGAGGTCCAACAATGCATTCACGGCTAAAGGTTAGGGAATGGGATGGATTGCGGGCCCATATGCCTTTGTGGGTGCGATGGTCTGCGTGCTTATCCTGCCATTACGCGTTATATCACGCAGGAGATAACAAATATGCATTTTTACCCTGGGAGAGCGTTGTGGATTTTTCAGAGCATAAGGAGCGCCATTCAAGTACCAATTACGCGAGCAAGGTACTTGCCTTGGCTTTTTGTTCCTATGGTCGGACTTCATATCGCGTAAAGCATGTGATTGTTACATACTGATATATATGCGCTTATAAGCCGTTCTGCTAGAGGTGTGGTTTCGTCAGAGTCCTCAGGCTGTCGAATTTGCATCGTACGCATCTAATTTGCAGTATTGGAAGCTTGGTGTCGAAGAAGCAGAGGAGCTTCTTGCACGTCGGGCTGGCTTGCAGCCTTCCACCGACCATCAGCCGGTCGATTTCGCAACGAAGAAGACCAATTTCAGCAATCTAGCCAAGGCGTGGGTGGGTGGATCAGGATCCACTGGAAGGCAGCAATGCAGCTCAGGTGCGTGCTCAGTTAATGGTTAGAATACCTGTCGCTTGCCAAACGGCTAACCGTCCATGTTTTGTGCAGGCGCGGCAGGACGGACAACTGAGCGGAACAAGGCGAGCACGGCTCAGCTAGAAGCCTCAAAAATAGGCGCTCCGTCCGCCACAACGCCTCCCGACGCCAAAGCGGCCGCTCACGCGACCAAGTCCCAACATCGGGCGGGTGGAACGGCCACTGGTAAGTCGCTCAGCACACGCAATTGCCACCGATAATGATATATTATTTACTCTTCTTGAACTGTGGCGTTCTTTCCGTCCGTATTGGTACTCATGTCGACATACTAACGTCTGCAGACGACGGCCGACCAAAGTCCATCGGTGGCGTAATGTTGGAATGGGCGCGATACATGCCGCAAGTTGCTGCTACACGCAAGAGCGCCGAACTCTCCAGCAGCGATGCCACCATCCGGTTCGCCAGGCGCCTGGCACGGGGCGAGGAGGTAGGGCACCCCTTAGCAGGTTGCAGACTTGCAGCGGAAATCCGCATCTGCGTAAGGGCCATTGGGCGCAAACGACATCGGCGATACGCTACCTAACACGATATGCTGAACTGCAATAAAATTGTGCTTCAGGGCCGCAACCAGGGCTAGTGAAGCAGTTGGTTGCCGTAGTCATCTGTTTTAACGCGTCTGTTGTTATAGGTGGTCCTTCCTCTGACCTCTTGTGTACAACCGTTGGCGGAGGTTGGATTCTCGGGTTGGGTTGTGCGCGTTGTTCTGGCAAGGCTCAGAAAGCACAGATCTGCACAGGTCCGCCATCCCCTCCCTTCTTTTCATAAATATAGCTTGACTTCACGGGTAAATGTGCCGTGCCAAAGCCCCAACAGCGCTGCAATGCACTCGCGGGTCCTCGGTTGTTATCGAGTGCGCCGTTGAAGCGGGTGGGACCCCAGCCTTCACCACAGAGACATCACTCAAGCAAATTGGTGATACCGTCTCGCTTCCGTCTGTTCCCCACCACATACCGGTGGTGCCTGTTATGGCAACATGGGCGACTGCCGAATAGGGACGTCGCACAGGGTTCCATTCGCATGTGACTCCTTTCCTTTCTTTTATGATGTGCGTGCCCGTGTTGGTCTCGCGGTTGCCTGCCGCGTTCTATTCCGCTTTCTTGATTTGGCTCAGCTGTCCGAGGTTAACCCGGACGACCAGCTCGCGTTGCAGCGGCTGCACTCATTCGCGCTGCAGCAGCGTCTGCGTGGTGTGGATGCCCTGGTGCGTCCGGCGACTGGCCTGACCGCCGCGAATCCGGACGACGGCAGCAAGCCCGGTGCCGTTATCACCCGACAGCAGCAGCAGGCAGGCGATGTCGCTTGTTTTGGTAGCAGCGCCGGCGCTGGCGGAGACTTAAAGGACGCTGACAGTGCAAGCTCTGGGCCGCTTTCACCCCGGGGGCCCCCTCGCCATGCAGCCTCTGGTCTGGTGGCCACGACGCAGCCTGTGGTAGTGCAGGAGGTGGGTTCTAAATAACTTGGTTTCAGAGCACAACCTGCGACTGTTGCGAAAGAGCTCCTGTGGTGTCTTCATGAAGCCGTCACAGCGGCATGCACCGTGTGACACGTGTGCCCTCCTGCATCTGGGGGAAGAGCACGTTGGGGGGACGCAGGTCCAGACGTGGGGGAGCCATCTGAGGCTCACGCAAGCATGCGGGCATGGGCCATCCGCACCTGCGCCTGAGGGGCGGGTCACGCGGAGTTGCATGCAAACGCCTCAAAGGGGTCGCCCGCCTCCCTGGCTGCTTACGCGCCCACAGTCACCCGCCCCGGGCAGCACCTCTGTAGCCCCTCTTCCTTTTCTCTCTTCAATGCCTCAAACCGTATCATCAGAAACGGGTTTTGGGACGGTGAAGGCAGTGAGGGGGGCCTCTCTCGCTGTTTGCTGTATGACGCGTTGAACCTCCTGCTTCGGCTTCGGCACTTGTTGCTTTGCCGAGGCGTTACGTTCCTTATGCTCGCCGCGTTGCGCCGCTGTGACGGCCGTTGAGATGTCCGCGGACGTCTGTCCGCGTCGCGCTTCTCCTTCCTCTCCGGAAAGGTTTTTTCTCTCTCTTCGTCGCCCCCTCCCCTACCCCCTCGCGCGCCAGACGTTTACAATCAGCGACGCCGCAGCAGTGCCGGTACCTGCGCGTGTGGTGGAGATGCTGCTGAAGAGCCTTACAGGGCCAGCTGCGGTGACCGAAACAGCAGCACCAGGAGGCACGGCAACGTGCCCGTCGCCCCGTGCTAGGCGGGCCGCAGCTGGCAGCGGCGCTGGCGGTGGCGGCGGTTCGCCTTCTCCTGATGAGGCAAGGACTACGGGAACTGATACGGGCGCCGCTGGCGTAGAGGTGAAGCCCACGGGCACTGCCGATGGTGATGATGGTGATGGTGATAATGGCGGGAAAGCGGCTGATGCGCAGGACGCCGCCGCAGCGGCAGAGCGAGCTGGCAGCCCTGCAGCGGCAGGCGGTGCGGATGGCGGGCTGCAGCCGGCGGCGGTAGTTTCCCTGCAGGGAGGCGGCGCTGCGGTGGCTGATTCAGCGGAGGAGGAGACCATTCTGGAGGTGGATGTGGCGCTGCGGGTGAACGGGAAGGTGAGCTCGGGCGCTCTAAGGGCGTGGCGATGGGCGTGTGTGCCTGTGCGGACCACGGGCGATGGACTGCCTTGCGCGGTAACTGGTGGATTACATCCGGCCTTTGGAAGGTAGCGGGTAGCCAGGAGTGCAGTAGTAGTGATGCATGGGGCGGTAATCTGGGCAGGGTGTCGGATTGGGCTCGCGGGGCAGTAGCGCCCGTGTGGAGGACGACGTATCCCACTGGGGGCCTTGTATTGGTTCTGGTGGCTGCTTGGCCCTTGGTTCCACCGGGGAAGGAACTGCTACGGGCTCCGTTGCCCTTGCTCTTGGCCCCTGGCGCTGGGAGATTTTCGACCTTGGACATTGGCAGTGCACTACCCGCTTTCCCGCACATATGCTTCCCCTCTTGGCGCTGCTCGCTCCCTAACCGCACCGCACGCTGACCCCGCTTCGACGCAGTTGCTACCTTACCTGTCCGTCGGGGAGCAGCTGCTGCTGCGGACGAGGAGGAGTAGTAGTAGCAGCAGCAGCCCACGGCCTGGAACTCAGCAAGAGTTAGGTGGCGGCAGCGGCGACGGCGGCTCCACGCCGCAGCGCCCGGTAGCGTTGAGCTCGATTGCAAAGCGCCCTGAGCAGCAGCGGCATGGACAGCAGCGGCAGTCGGGTCAGTCGGCGGCGCTCATGTCAATGGGCGACGCTGCAGAGATCCCTACGCCGGCGCCAGCAGCCGAAATTACTGTTGCTGCTGCTGCGGCGGCGGCGGCGGCGGCTTTCGTGAAGGAAGTTGACGGGATGCCGGCGGCGGCGGCGGCGGCTGCGACGCGCGAGATGTCGCCATCTGACGGTCCTCACCCCGGGGCCCGGCCGCACGAGGGTGGCCGGCAGGCGCCAACGCAGCCGCTGGGGCAGCAACAACAGGAGCAGCAGCAGGAGAAGCAGGGGGTGGCGGAGACGGTGCCTGCTGCGTGCGCACCTGCTGGTGCCGATGCGGATAATGCAGCGCCGATGACGGAGGCGCCCTCGGCAGCGGCGGCTGCGGCGGTGGCAGCAAATCCAGCGGCAGTGCAAGGCACTCCTGGCGCGCCAGCTCGGGCCGAAGACCAAGCCGCGTTGTGCCCCTCCCCGGTACCAGTCTCGCCACCGCCAACCGCCGCTGCCCCCAATAGCCCTCCCGCCGCCGCCGCCGCCGCCGCTATCTCCAACGCGGCGGCAACCATAGACCTTTCCCGCAGCTTAGCGCCCTGGCTGCGCGGTGAGGTTCGGGTTACCTGCTGGACGGTGTGTGCCCCACGGCTGCTGCTGGTGGCCGTGTCGGCAGACCGCAAGCGCGACGGCGGCCTTGGCGGCATTAAGCGTGAGGCGCGGCTGCTGCTGGCGGAGGCCAAGGAGCGCCGCGCCGCCAGCCCAGGAGGGCCCGATGACGACTTGGCGGAGGGTGCCGGCGGTGAGCAGCAGTTGAAGCGGCGACTGCGCTCCGCTACGTCGCCGCCAGCGCCGGCGGCAGTTCAGGCGCTAGGCCAGTCGCCGGCGTCGGGGTCGGCGGGCGGTACGGGACGTAAAAGCTCGCCGCCGCCGCCGCCGTTGCTGCATACCGGTACGGCGGCGGCGGCAGTGGTGCATCAAGGGAAGGCACAGCAGCAGCAGCACCAGGCGGAGGCGGCGAAGGCGGCCGGAGGGCTTCCCCAGATTTCCGCCACTGGTCCCGCTGCTGCAGCGCTGATGCGGTCCAGGCTACTGCAGCAGAAACGGCAAGCCAGCGCAGCAGAGGCAGCAGCAGTTGCTGCTACTGCGGGTGCTGGCAGCGGAAACGGCGGTGCCGGCACGGGGGGAACACAACAGCCGGGAAGCGATGCGTCCAAAAGTGCCTCAAGCGCCGGCGGCGGCGGTGGCACAGACACGCGCCCGTCGAAAAAAGTGAAGTTGGTGCGTTTTCCAGGGCCGCCAGTCGGCGGAAACGTCGCGGCACCGTGCTCGGCTTCGCGTGTCAGCAGCGGCGGGCTGCCCGCGGCGGCGGCCGCTGCAGCAGCGGCGGCGACGGGGGCGGCGGCGGCCCCTGCAGGTGGCGCATCTGCGCAAACAGATGGTTCCGGAGCGCCTGCGGCGCGGCGGCGCGTGTCGTACAGCCAATTGATGTTAAACAGTGGCGGCGATGCCCTTGACGACAGCCAGCGGTACGGCGGCGGCCGCGGCACGGGGGCGTCCGCAACGGGTAACGCGGGGTACAGCTGCAGCAGCTACGATGCTGATTGGGAGCTGTCGTACCCGCCTTGGCTGCCGCAGCCAGCGCAAAGAGGGGCCTTCATTACCGTGTCGCACCTCCTGCTCAACAAGAACAGGCCGACCCAGAACCACCACAGCCACCACAGCCACCAATTCCAGACGCACAAGGCCGACCATGTCCCAGGTAACTACCACCGTAACCACCAGCACAACGCCCCTCAGCAGGTGGTGCTGCAGGGCGCTCGAGGGAACGCCGCCACCACGGCGGCGGCGGCGGCGGGTGGTCAGCTCAGCCACAGCACCTTCCGACAGCCCAACTACAACCACAGCTACAACCAGCACCATCATCACCATTCGCACCACCATCATCATCACCATCACCACCACGATGGCCAGCATACCATCCACCCGATTGCCAGCCCGCGCAACAACGGTGGCGGCGGCGGCGGTCGCGCCGGATCCCGTCGTTCATCCGGCCACGACGCCTGGCAACGGGACGAAACCGAGGAGCTGCCGTACCCGGAACGGCGCATGGACGGCTGGTCGTCGGATGCCGGTACGGCCTTGGATATCGAGTACGGAACGGGCGCAGCTTCCGCTGCGGCGTGGCTGTCCACGTCGGCGTATGGCGTTGCGCAAGCCCCGACGTCGGGGACAGTACCGCCGCCGCCGCCGCCGCCGCCGCCGCCGCCGCTTGGCGGCGGCGGCTCCGTCACGGATGCTTCCGTCAGCACCGCGCCCGCGGGTTTCGGAGCGTGCGAACAGATCCTGCTGGACATCCGCGTGGGTGACGAGACCGACGCGGAGGGGCCGACGGATCCTCAGCGGCGACTCAGCGGCGGCGGCGCCCCAGGTGATGCCGCAATCGCCGTCACCATTCACCTGCCGCCGCGGGACACCGCCGCCACTGCCGTACCTCCACCTGGAGCGCCGCCGCCGCCACTCATGGTTGGCGCCAGTTACGGCTCGGTTACGGCAGGTTACCTGCCGCTGCCTCACATAACATCATGTGGGGGCGATCAACTGCCAACAGCGCCCATCAGCCC